TGAAGCCGAAGCTTCCGCGACTGCTTGCAGCACCTATTGACTGTCGGAGGTTTCCATGCGGCATGGAACTCGATTGACTTCCTGTAGCAAGGTCTGAAAAGGTAATCCTATCCTGGCCAGTTGCAAGATCGGCTCGAGCAAGTAGAGAGCTAACCCGTCGAGAAGTCTTGAGGGGAACTCCAATATCACCAAAATCTTGGCCTAACTTAGAAGCAAGATCGTCTTCATCTGGCTTTCCATCAGTAGAGTACTGGGAAAGAGACAGGCCTGGTGTATTCCAGTTATCGCCCCTAGGACCAAAGCTCTCTCTAGCAGCGGATGGGCGAGCTCCAGGAGTCGTTGTTCCTGTTGCCATTCCAAAATGTGAGCTACGTCGCTTTGACCAGGTACCACCTGTCTCGCGTCGTCCTCTCCTTTTAGACGAGGGGTTGGCTTCATCTTCCCTATAACGTGCTGTCCAGATAGTGTACAGCCCAGTATTAACATTGACAGTCACCACGAAAATTAGAGGGCCGCTAATCAGATTCCTATTAGACTCTAAGAGCTCATCCCTGGGGGAGACATATATGATCTCATCCGCTGCACCCAGAACATCCAGCCCAGAAGGTCTGCTGGTAACACTACTTTGTAAAAAGCGAGAAGTCTGGTTCGTCACAACAAGGCCCATCTCAGAATACGGGTCCATGAGGGAGAACACTCTAGGTAAGTCGGGCTGCTTACGCGGTGGTCTCAAACTAGTACCTGGAGCAGGAGATACCGTCAATGACGGCCTTTTCCCCTTGCTGGAAGGGACTTCTAGAGACTGTGATGCACGGAAGTCCATTGTCGTAGGCAAGGTTGACATAAATGAGTTAGGAGGCGCCATTGGGCAGAGACCCATGTCCTTATTGTCCTCCTCGTACATTTTTCTCTGAAATAAAAGACCCTTCGGGGTCGCGAATATTGAATCCACCTCAAAGGGCAGCGGAACGACGTGGCTGTTTCCAGCTAGGAAGAAGATATGGGCTTGAGACTTGAGGACCACAACCAACGCTCTGGTCGAGTCAGAGTCATCAACTCCTTGGACACCTCTACCACGTATATTTAAGGTCACGCCGGAGGCTTCCAGTCTCGATTCTTCTCCATTCTGTTGGCCATGTAAACCACGACTCCGACCAAGGTCATTACTCGTTCGGGAAAGGCCTTCCTTAGTCGCTTGCGAAGCATTTTTATTGGTTCTTTTAACCTGGCCGACTGAGAAATTTGTCAGAAGCGCATGCCTAACGTCCTCCTTTTCGAGATCCAGCCGGTACACCCTCTGCACAACCCCAGCTCTAGACCAGACCACACAGCCTTTCGTCCAGACGATCTCATCCTCAACCGGGCCATTTGGGCCTATATCGACGCTAGATGCCCACGCATAGTGATCGTTGGACGGGTCGGGGGGTAGTAAGCCCTCTGCAACGAGAAAAGGTATGGCCGAAGGTTGGTGGAGGCCAAGGGATCGGACAGTAGCCATTATCGGCGCGAATAAATAGATGTCGGGGTAGAATCACTGGCAACGACAGCCAGGAGCGAGTACATGTTCATTGCCCATCAGCACTGTCAAATACGAGTGGGCTGGTGTCAAAACGGGCGCTGTGTCAACACTGAACGTGCAGCGTGGAAAATGCCTGGTGGGTGACGCGCTGGACGCGGCGGAGCTTTCAGAACCATTTCTTGAATCAGCTGCTTTTTTTCACTCCGCAACACACCACAACAACTTCATATTTCCTCCACCTTGAGTCCGTCATCCTTTTGGCTTGGCTATACTTGAGTGTAATCTATTGCCCGTGATTGCTTTATACAACTTTAGAGTTGACTTTTTTCCATACATTGCCGTGCGGACGAGTTCGAGCTCGCCCTTGGAAGCTCTACAGTCCAACAAAGATCTCGATCGCATATCATATCAAAGCACCATGCCATCCTTCCCCTCTAGGCCTTTGGCCCGGCCTAGAGATGACGGCCTGCAACTAAGGTGAAAAGATTCCATTTGATTCAACTAGACAATCAACACTTACAGTACTCTTTACATGTAGCTACCAACTTCCTCATCGCGTCTACACCGCCAAGGGCTACCCTGTCCTCGCCCCTAATGGCTCATCAATTATAATCTATGGCTATGAAAATGGGTTGAAGGTAATTTGGAGAGGTGGAAGACCATTTACAAACAAGAAGCCGTCAGCCCCTAAGGACCAACCGCAAGAGAAAACCAACCGGAGCAACGACGACTCCATCATGATCGTTGATTCTGATGATGAGAGCTCTGCCGAACCCCAGAAAAACGAAGAACCAACTTATGGGTTTGAAGAAGATGAGCCGGAAATTGACCCCCTCTTCCCGTACGAAAACGTGCTGCGTCAGATCGATATACCCCTTGGGACCAGAGTCGTTGAATTGGCTGTCCCTCGCGTTCTCCCTGAGACCGCGCGTTCATCGCTCGATCCTTTCCCGCCCATTCTGAAGAAACGTATGGTCATCTCGGCCGTGTGCGCTGATCTTTCCACCCGAGTTTTGACATTTCCCTTGGCTCCTCCTCACCCTGCTCAATTCGAGGTCTCCTCGTGGGTGCAGGCCTTGTCGATTAGCGGCGGAGTATCACACCAAGAAATCCCAAGGGGGGTGGGAATTGCTTTCACATATCAAGCGAGTGAGCAACAGGGAGATGAGGACATGTCTCGAAGCCAAAGTGGACCTAATGGCAATGGGCCAGGGAGGTGGGACCTTCTTGTCGCCACTCATTCTGCGGAGTCGTCGGGCCTACTTATAATACATCGGATTCCGGTTGTGGAAGAGACAGATCGCAACGAAGTGCTGTACCGTTTAGTTGAAGATGATATCGAGTCAAAGCGCCGTTATCTGCCGGCGCCAGCCCAAAACATCGCCTTCAACCCATCACCATTTCCATCACCACGACACTCGACACTACTCGTCGCCTTTCATAGCGGATGTGTCAAAGTCTACTCGTGTTTCTCTACAAAATCATCTAAAGCATCGCGCAGGTCATCCAGTCTTCAAAATGATTTCGAAACGTCGGAAACGGAGGGAAAGTGGCTGATCAGTCTCTATCCCGGGTTTGAGCAGTCCCCCTCAGGGCTTCCCCGGCGTAAAACTATAGTTAATGCAGAATGGGTGCTTGGTGGACGAGCTATTATGGTTCTCATGGCGGATGGTGAATGGGGAGTGTGGGATCTCGAAGGGGCAGGTCCAGGAACCGTGAAGGGCCCACTCCAGCGTCAATCCAGTGTACAGGGTGTGACTGGCGGATCCTTGACTTCATTTTCTGTCAGTGGACGGATTTTGGGTCCGCTGTCAGGAGCCCGAGCTGAAACAAGCGGGCCTATCGCAGAACAGCGTCCTAAATTCGCCCCCCTGACACCACATACTAAGCGTGTGCGTGAAGATACTTTGCTGAAGGGTGCCATGGTTGGGGCAATTGCCCCATCTTTGTGCGGAGAAATCTCCGTCTATCAGACCAATTCATACCGTGATACCCTACCTGACGAGTCGATTCTGTTGCGACACGGCAACCAGAGCGCTGTCATCCCGAGTCTGCTGTCCTTGTGGCGGAATGCTGTAAAAGCAACTGGAACCTTTGATGCGTCCAACCGCTGCCGAGTTTCCGTCATCCAAGATATCACTTTAATGGGGGAACATCTAAAAGGCATTGGTCACCTTCCTGCCGCTTCTCGCCAGACTCGCCAAGCTGAAGGTGGAGACCATGATACTCTTCTCATTGCAGAACACCGTATCATAATCCTCACTCCGAGACTTAATGAACCGGATGAGTCTCCTGTGCTTCTAGGGTCGATGGACGAGACACCAACCGCAGAAACTGATCAGCTAATGCTTCGGCGCGGTGAACTTGACGTGGAAGGCATGGATCGACTACTGAGTGGGATGGCCAGCAATAATCAATCCCTCCGAATGGGGAGTCCTATTAAGCGGGCGCGTATCTTCACTTAAATAAGAAATGCTTCACGCTGGTGGAACCTAGCTCTTAAAGAGTACGAACCTATGTCTTATACAACTGCAAATATGTCGTTGGTGGCCATGAGTTCGTTCTGCATCACGTCATTCATTGAATAATTTGTTCGGAGCTGATTCGCTGCGCCAACTAAGCTGGAACTTGTTGGACACATGCTTTCACACATCGACTGATAGAGATAGTGACGCGGAAGCAGGTTCAACATTTTCAGATTAACGACATTTACCTAAGACTGGATACACGTCTACTGTGCTATATGAAAAGCTGCAAAATTAGATGTGGTTGCTCATGGACATTAACGATACCCAATTGAACATATCAACGGTTCATCTGCCACTCTCTTTCTTTCTCTCTCTCCCCCCCCCCCCCCCCTCCCAACCCTTCTTATTTTCCCCCAGGTTTTTGATATCATATCAAGGGGGTTCGCGCTGCAAGGTGGAGCGCAAGGCGAGAACCATGCCTTGAAATCCTTTCCTCAAAGAAAGGATAAGCTCTGTATCAGCTGCGATATATCAAGAGGCCTTCGGCCAATCCCATCCAACCAGTACGCTGGACTTCGGTTTCCAACGGTGGCATTTCTTCGGTCACCACTCTCCCACCAGTACGGTCTGGGTTGACTGTTTTCTTCTTGTCGACCTATTCAGAGACTGATCTGTCCTGCTTTTGGCACGGCCAATGCCTGATGATTGATACAGACATTGTTCTGGACGGCTCCACATCAGTTTCGGTATGGGGACGGACAACAGCCAGACCAACTGATGGGGGGCGATAAAAGAAAAGAAACCGGGGAAGTAGATGGGCACATTTTCTGTATTATATATATATATATTTTTTTTACAAGCGTAGATTGTAAAGTTGAGATAAACAACTGTTGTGGGTGGGTGTACATATGTATATATGTACACAAATATGTGAAGGCGGAGATAAGATCGGATCGGATGACAAACCACCAGAGTCACTGATAAGATTAATCTCGATAACTGAAGAACCCCACGAAGATCATCATTGCCAGCCAGAGTTTACCTTTACTAAAATGTACTCTATCCAGACAGAAATACCCCACAATTGAACCCACTATCAACGTTTCCAATCCTTCATCATGGCCCAACAACAACCGAACCGTGGTAAGTAAGCCCTCAATGGACCCCCTCACCAACACGCAGTATTTCCCCTGATAAATGTTACATCTAAACTAACTCCCCAATTACAATAGAGAAAGTCTGGGCCTCCCTAATAACCAACCTCTCCTACCTCCCCGGCATCCTAACCCTTGCACACTCCCTCCAATCCACCGAAACAGCCTACCCCTTCATCGCATTCTACACCTCCACATTCCCGGCCGAAGGCCTGGTAGCGCTTCAAGCGCGCGGAATCCGCACCCAAGCCGTCCCCAGCGTACAACCAGGCCAGAGCAGAGTCTTCCTCCAGGATCCACGCTTCAACGAAACATGGAACAAATTGATTGTATTCTCGCTGGTGGAGTACGACCGCATCATCCTACTAGACGGAGATATGCTGGTGCGAAATAACATGGATGAGCTGATGGACCTGCCACTGGACGCGCCGGGTTCAGAATTGAGCAGCGCGGGGAACAAGCAGCAGAGAGTATTCGCAGCGAGTCATGCGTGCGCTTGTAATCCGCTAAACAAGCCGCATTATCCCAAGACGTGGTATGTGCAATCCATCCTCTCGCGCGCGCGCATCCTTGCCCGCCCCCTCCTACATTTTCAAGTTCCCAAATTCTGACGTTGATACCGATGTGATGTATGCATAACAGGATACCCAAGAACTGTGCCTACACAAGCCAGCATTCGGATCCCATCCAAGCGCAGACATCCGGCACTCCTGCCACGGCCGGTGTTGCCATGTTGAATAGTGGCCTCTTAGTCGTACGTCCTAGCACATCGGCCTGGGCGGAGATCCAGGCTGGACTTCACATGTCCGATCGCACAGATAAGTACGATTTTCCAGATCAGGAACTCTTGTCGGATGTGTTTCGGAATCGATGGGTGGCATTGCCATATGTGTATAATGCGCTGAAAACGTTACGGTGGGTTGGAGTGCACGACGCCATCTGGAGAGATGAAGAGGTGAAGAATGTGCATTACATCTTTGCTAAGAAGCCCTGGCATGAAGATCCCGATGATGGGATGGATGAACCAAGTCGTTGGTGGTGGGAAATGAATAGGCAGAGGCAACAGTTGGAAGTGAAACAAGGTATTACGGACGGTCATTGAGACGGCTGCCGGGACATGTTCTCGTTTTATTTTTGGGCTGCCCATGATTCAGGGTCTTTTCACTTATCCAATGTATATACAGTACAAATACCCTAGCTCCCCTCGTAGGGTGGATAGAACGCCTTAGATAGACATCAGATGATAGAAAGAATCGGAACAAAGCAAGATCAGCCACGTAGACTACATTTACACTCAGAACCAATAAGCCAACCAGTGTGAATCTTATCCAAGATGTTCGTGTGATTCACTGATCTAGGGCTCCATCACACCTTTATCCATTGAAACCCAGCGATTCCAGCTCCTTGCGCACCGATTCCTCGGTCTGAATCTTCTTTAGCTGCGTATCCTCCAACTTCTCTCCACCCGCAAGGCGCATTTTCAGCTCGTCGATCGCACGAATCTTCTTCAGAAGCCCGCGGATCTTCTTCTCTTGTGCGGTGGGTGCACCTGCAGCTTCTGCTGCAGTGTTATTGTTGGGCTTGGTCGAAGCAGGCGATGCGCCATTGGCCTGGTTCGCATTCTTGCGCTCAGAATTGTTGGCCTTGGAGCGGCTACGTTCGTGGTGGCCCTTGTCCGCATGGGATTCCGGACCGCGGGCAGGCTGCCCATCTTCACCATCCTTCAGCTTCTTCGCCTCACGCTTCTTTTTGTTCCTGGCGGCGGACTTGGATAGCTTCTCTGGCTGATCCGCACCTGGAGGCAGAGCAACCCCTCCTCCAGGAGCGGCTCCCGGAGGAAGATATTCTTCGGCCGGATCAGCACCGGGGACTTCACGTCTCCGTGGCTTGCCCAAGCCGTTCAGTGCTCCACCGTTTGCCCCGTCCCGGACAAAGGTAGCACCGCCCTGATCTTCCCGCTTGAATGCAAGTGGTGTAAGCTGACCACGAGCACCCGGTGGGCGATAGGCACCGGCAGGTTTAACAGGAGCCTTCCTCGTGCTCAGATACGCAACAGCAGATGGGTGGGGTGTCGGGAGCGGGTGGAACGGATCACCAAGAGGGTGCTGCGTGGTAGACTGCGGTCTCCAAAACACATCGTAGAGCTCGTTCATGTCTTCGTTGTACACCAACGCACCGCTGACATGCCACAAACGAACACCGTTATCTACTCTGAGACGGGGACTAGTGGTAGCCGTCAGGATATACTTTCCATCGGGAGACCATTCGCAAACACTAGCATTCGACGCTTCCACGGTAGCGATCTTGAAGTAGTTCTTTTCCAGATCATAGATGTCCATCTGGCCAGCTAAGTTACCAAAGCCAGCGACTAGGACGAAGCGACCGTGGGGGGAGAACGAGATGGTGTTCCGAGGGGCGAGTGGGAAACTGTGCTGCGGCACTCCACGGAAGTTGAAGATCGTGGTCTTGGCTGGCATATAGCCGTAGACAACACCAAACTCTCTAGAATTGGGAGACCAGGTAACATCGTGAATCGGGCCTTCCTTGTCTACAGAATGATCAAGTTAGCATCTGCTTTCTGGCAATCCGACAGGCGATAAGAAGCACATACCCAAGTCGACACGAGAATCAAAGCCACCCGTAGCACCGAGCAGGTATAGGGTGGTCTCTCCGTAGTAACTCTTGCCTGTGCGATCAACGTCGGTCTGGGCAAGCACAAGCAGAGTGGTTCCAGAGGCATTCCATTTCAACTGAACCTTGTCACCTTTGAAGAAGGTCTTTTGCGAAACGGGAGCTCCGAACTGAGGCACCATGAACACCTTGACTGCAGCGGGTTGACCCTATGATAACACCGTCAGCCAATCAGTAAATCGAGCGACAGATTAGGTCTCCTAACCTTGCGTTCAGGCACAAAAACAGCAACTGATTGACTCTTTCCTGGTGAGACCGCGAAGTCGATCACCCCCTCCACACGCAGCTTATTCCACACCTTGAACAGGTTGTCGCTCTGGTAAAATTGAACCTCGTTGGTGACAACCCGAGCACAGTAACGCTCATCAGACGTATATTGAAGGTTCCAGCCCGTTTGCGACTTTTGGACGTAACTGCCCACAATCGTGTGTTCATCTCCGTTGCTATCCGGTGTTGTCTCCACGATCTTCCAAACCTTCAAGTTCTTGACTGCATCGCCATTCGCATCCTTCGCAGGGCGCTGCCAAGTGATCAAGTAGGTCCCGAGAGGTGAGAATCCCAGCTCAAAAACGTTATCGGCAGGGATATTCGTGATAATATGTCCGACAGAAGGATCAATAATGGTTACCCTGACAGCCAGTTAACAGACACAATACTTTCCTAAAGATAAGAGACGGCATACTTCTCGGGAGATGCCCATGCAAAATAGCGGCCACAGGGAGAATAAGCGCTACAGCGAAGGTTCCCCTCAGGTCTGCGGGTAGGATAAAGAATCAGATCAGTAAACTTCAACGAGAACCAAGAGATGTGGGCAGGACGAATACCTACCTCTCAAACCCCGACAATGGCTCATAGACTGGGGCTGCATCCAATATGCCAATCCCTTTGACTGTCCTGACTGCATGAAGTTAGCAGATGGTCGTTCATTGTACCGTCAAAGTATCTATCCACAATGACACTGAATAGACCAAGAAGCAACCCAGATAAGGAAGACCCACAAGCAATCTGCGTGGGAGCTGCCATGACGACTTTCTAACTTCTGTTCTTTATGCAAAAAGGGGAAAGAAATTATAATTGCAGCGGAATGGGCGTGCAGATGCAATGCCGCAGTAATTAATCCAACAACAAACACTCTCTCAGAGAAGCTAAAGGAGAAGTTTAATAGCTTTGTGGCAGATAACTATAAAGTAGTGACACCAGAGAAACCCAAGTTTCTGTGGTTCTCCGTCGTTCGGTTGGAAGGGGGAAAAAGCGAAGAGACGAGCGTTGATGGTTTAGGTGCTGCAACTATGCGTGGCGAGATGTTGTTTGTCTGACGCAGCGAGACACACAGCCGCCCACACACAAAGTATCCGAAAGTGAATAAGTTGGCCGGTCAGAATAGTGGTCGGGTCTCCAAGCTAAGAATTCCTCGGTGCTTGACAAGTCAATGCCAGCAACGAATAGGACAGGAACACTGTAGGGGGAGCGTGAGTGGGAGGTGGTGGTGGAGGATGAGGACGAGGAGGAACAGTGAAGGGTAGATTGGGGCGAAGGAAGCGGTGGAAGGAAGAGAAAGCGAGGGAAATTTGTTCGGGGCAGAAAAAAAAAAAAAAAAAAGCCAGCGGCGGCAATTCTGCAGAGAACCTGGAAGCTCAAGGCGCCAATTGAAACCCACTAACAACGAGCTAAATTACGATTTAGATTCCATCTCTTTTACCTAGTATTATTTAGCCAAGATCAATGCAATTGACCGTTTTTACGGAGTACTGTTTATATTCAATAGACAACTTCAGTCGGTCGTGCATACTACTACTTCATGCATGCTTGACTTCACTACTCTAATGTGGCGACCAATCTCAATTAAAAGTTCATTCAATAACCAACTTGCAGCTTCTCTTCGAACTTTTGAACATGACTGGAGAAAGCGGAGGGGAAATAGGAATAAGCAGGCGAAATGTTTCATTTTGATACTCATACATTGTCAAAGAAGGATAAAAGCAAATAAAAGACAAGGCAAAGGCAAAACATAAATAATAAAAAAAAAGGGCGAAAAAACCTAATGCTGCTGAGAAACGCCCATTTACTGTCTCATTGATTTCCTCTACAGCAAGTCCCAACCCCTATCGCCCTACATGTTACTAGGATCATCTCGACCTAGGGGTGTGGCAAGCCGAGGGGTTCTCACGGTGGTATCAACCACATCCGGGTCATAAGTCATCCCATCGACCATTCGAGCGTCCTGCACTGGTTCGGGTGTGGTTGATCCAGTTGGCGACAATGCCACTGGTATCATTCCGCCATCCCCGAAATATTGAGATGATGAAGGCACTGGATTGACTCGGGTAGTGTTAGGATTACCAAACGAACTTGGCCGACCTACCGATGATGTTCGGTTCAGACTTGGATGTGAGATCGGTCCGCTGATGGTGCTAGCCCCTTCTCCAAACCCGACGAGGCTGGCATCGCCTTCATCGCTGAGATTACCAACGCTGGAAGTTCCATCGTCCGGCTCCTCGCTCATCTTGTCGGCGTCGTACGCATCACTGCCGCTCGCCCACGTTGTACGAGCGCCCACGCTGCCCGTAGCGCTGGCGCTACCTACGGTGCTTCTCTCCTTCAATGTGGAGCTAGTATCAAAATAGCCCGGGGCATGAGACATCGGAACTGTAGTGTTCGGTTGCGGCCCTCCACCAGTCCGAGCGGCTACTACCCGTTCCAGGCCCGCCAGACGCGAAATGCGGTCGGCTCGTTCTGCCTCCAGAGTTGTGGTGGAAGTCATTGACGCAGAAGACGAGTGGTGTGCATGGCGACCATGTGGTAGTGGATGGCCTGTATGACCGTCTTTGATGGCGGTGGTTGACAACGCTGATAGCGATGTTGTGCCAGAATTTGGGGTTCCACTGAAGTAGATGTTAGATCGCGCTCAGGATATCCTGTAGACTGGGCAATCCGATGGGAAGAGAGGGGAGGGCTTACGGTCCCATATCTGATGGAGTCACTGGATCAGAGGGAGGGGGAGGGAGGTTGATCAAAGTCGGCGTCGTCATTTTCTTTTGTTTGGAAAGGAGATAAGAAAGAACAAAAAGATAGAGGGGAAACTACCCAAAGATGCTCGCTGGTTCAATAGTAAGAGGGATAATATTGTTGGAAGATATCTCTAGACAAACAACTGGAAGCGCGACAAGTTGCGAGCGCAATCGGCCCGATAAAAGAACGAGTCTTATGGCAGAAATGGCTGGAGATGAAATTAAATAAGGTGAATATGAAACGATCGCGCAGGAGTTCCGCAAGGCAATCAGACTCCACTGCGGCTTAAGATACAAAGTTTGGGGGAGACTTGGGGGTGTTATAGGATCGGACGTCAAGCGGTGGAATGACGGATGAATGGGGGGGAAGAGCACTGGAGAACTTGAAAGTGTGGGAGGCAATTTGGGTTCCAATAGGAGTGAATCGTCATGCAGACGGGAAGTTGTGAGGAAAGAACAATGAGTGGGTTAGTTTACTCTTAAACTACTTCTTACAAGGTCACTTATGTATGAAAAGAAAGTGAGGCTACTAGGTAGATGGGCTGCGTCACTAGTCATGGACTTAACTCTCATTTCTCTCTCGATTTCATTTTTATATTTTTTCGTTTTTATCAATTTAGTATCTTTATTTTTTATAGACATTAATTTTGCTTATACGCATATGTTTACATGTATTATATAGTTTAGTTCCCAAGCCATCTGCCCCTCATAATCAAATCAACTTCCATCGTAATATAACAGACATTTCCATAGTACAACTTGAAGACAACCCAGAACCACAGGGTCATTGGAAACGCTCAACTCATCATGGACCTATTACTTTGGGAATCCTCTTTCGGAATTGGATGATGTCATTGTCCTGAAGTTCCCTGGGTCGACCAATCATGGATCATAGTGGGGTAGTGTGGGCCTGAGGATACCTTAGGTACTACTTAGTACTACTACTAGTAGCTGATTGAGGATCCTCTCCAGCTACTACTGATTTGGCAGTTAACTAAATATCAGTTGGATGCTCCGTGTCAACTTAGAAAAGAGGCCTTCTACTTTGGGACTACCTACCATTACCGTCAATTTGTTTCCCCGATCATGAGTGCAGGATTCCAATGCAGTTGTCTGGCATATGAACCCTTAGAATAGTCGGCAGCACCTGGGCATTGTAATTCATTCATCAGTCGATTCGTGGAATGGAACGAGTTATATGCAGTAGTAGCGGAAGAAGAGGATATAGAAGTATAAGTAATAACATCAGCAGTAGGCTGTACACACATAAACTCCCATGCCCAATGGATCCATCGCATATCAGAATCCAACTTCTTCCCGGCCCAGAAATCTATCAATGACTGGTCTTACGAGTTTCGTAGTGAACTCGTAGGTCATCCACCTCTTTCTGTAGACGCGATAAATCAGCCAAGATGTCATTGGCATTGGATGGGTGAGGAATGTATTCTTCGTGCATGTCCGGCCGCTTCTCTGAACGAAGACTTGTCGGTCGGGTGCTATCGTTACTCTGACTGCTGGACCCCCGCGTGCGCCGTGGAGGCGGGGGTGGTGGCAGAGGGTTGCCTATCGACGCTCGTTTCATGGAAGGAGTCTGGGAGTTGGACTGAGATGATGGAGTCGAGGCATCCGTGCCCGGCGTGGATGTCACCGCACCAACGCTCTGGTGCTGTAAGGAAGGCCTCCGGGGATTTTCCTCAGATGAAGGGCCTGGTCTGGTATCCCGGGTTCGCGATGGGTTCAAACTCCAGGAGCTTGGACTAGGTGGAGGGGACTCAGCGCCTTCCATCTTAACGGCTGGCATAGAAAGCCTGCTTGGGTTTGGCTTGGACGCGGTCGTCTTGGATCTTCTCATCTGACTGTGTCGCCTACTCAGTGGCGGTGTCGGTGGTCGCTTGTACTGAGATTGGCTGCGCCTTAAAGGCTCACTCGACTTTTCGGTATCGCTATTAGTCGTTCCGGTGAAATAATCCACTCCTGACTGTGATGGCTTGGGGGACGATGACGATTCCGGGGGGGAACTATGAAATGAAAAGCGGTTTGCAGATTTGAAAGGTGCGGGCTGAGAGGAAGAGGGAGTTGAGCCAGGAGTAGGGTTGATTAACTTCCCATGGTGGCTCCTGGGTGGAGGTGGTGGTATCTTCTCCCTATTACCTGAACGACTGACCAGAGCTCTTGCCTCTGCATCAATTGTCAGCATATAGTCTCCCGCCACAGCTCGCTTTGATGCCTCTATCCGTGAAGTACTTTGAGGAACAGCCGTGGCGCAATTGTTTGCGGCACGAGTACCTTGGAAAGAGCTTCTAGACGTTGTACTGTGGGAGACTTTATAGTTTTCACTCTCCCTGAGACATTCCTCGTTGCTTGCCCTCCGAGTCTGTTTTATAGATTGCGTTGTCGGGACCGCCGGAGCTGGTTGACTAAGGTATGGAGCTGTGTGTGGACCAGTGGTGTGGAGGGATTCTTGGGGGCAATCACCGCCGCGAGACTTGGAGGCATTCCATGTTGCAGATGATAAAGTTTCGTCTCGATCCTCCATGTCATCTTCACTCATGTGTATGTCCTGATGAAATGGATCTGAAGCGGATTGATCATCGGAGGACATCGTATCATCGAGGTCCGGGACGTGGGACGTGGGCGGGGTGTCGGCAAGGCCATTCGGCTGAAAGAGGGCATTCTGAGAGGTCGTAGTAGATGACGGTGTAGGAAAAGCAGGTTTTGCGGAGGTCGAAATGGCGGGTGAAGAATGATGAATAGAGGGGTCTACAACGGTCAGCATTGAGCGTTGAATATCCCAAGATGCCGGAAGCGGCGGGTCGAACTCACTCTCTGACTTTCTAAGGCGGAATGGATTTAAACCAGACATCGCAGAGAAAGTGGGAGGTACCAATCATGAGAGCGATGGAAAATAAACTGGAAGAGGAAGTTCAGAAAGAAGAGAATAACAAACATCATCAGTCGGCAAAGAAAGTCGTCGACCACTGACCACTCGCGCGGCTTCCGGAAAGCGCAACTAAACGGCCGATGGTTCGCGCCACGAAGCGTCGCCCCGGCTCTGCGGTCGATTAGGTACCTACACTACTGCCTAATCAAGGTACCTTTGATACTTAGTACCTTAGGAAGGGCTGATCTGTAACCCGGGCATATTTTGAGGTAGTACTAGCCTTGAGTAGAGGCTCAAAAGTGAAAGCATCAATGACTTCTGCGGCGTGTGCGTTCTCTGTCTTACATCCCCACAGGGGGAAAATAAAACAAGACGAGTAGTAAAGTAGGGAAAAAAAAAAAAAAAAAAAAAGGGAGAGAGAGAGAGAGAGAGAAATGATAATGAATAGGTATATGTTACAGGGAAAAGAATTAACCCAAAATTGGAAGGGAAAAAAAAAGATCGGTATGAAAAGCAGACTACCCTTCCCAAACACCAGGGTTATACAATACGAAATGATAAATGGTCGTCACAGTATTCCTCCCTCGAGTTCCATTGTCCGAGAAAGGAGGGTATCAGCTCGCCCGTTTATTGAAAAAAAAAGAAAAAAAAACAAAGACACAAAAAAAATGGTAATGTATCGTCCCTCCGCTGGGCAGATGTTACTGATATGCAAACTTCGTTCAGCTTTCCTCGTATACATGCCACTCATCATCCCCAAAGAATGACTGCGCCAAGGCTCTACCACTTTCGGTAGGCTGGCTGAATGCCATCTGCTCCTTTGGAATTTCCATGCCGTATATAAAATTGCTGACCACGCAGTCCAAAAGATCCATCGCGATCCCTTTCCGTCGCGATGACCCAGATGTCCATATGCGTGAAATCCCCACGATTGCCGGATGAGTTTCGTTGCGAACCGTGACTGCAGAATCAGTGCGATTGGTCTGGCTAGAACGTTTCTCAACCGGTCGTGATTCCCAAATTCGCTCCGTTAAACAGGCACCGACGCATCGACTATCCTTCATATGCAGGAAAACTTTGTAACGGTCCACTTTCTCTGGCACACCGTTTTTGCGCAAGTGTGTCGGGGGTTCGGTCTGGCTCCATAGGACATCATCTTGAATCTCGGGGGAAGACAACTCCTTATTAATAACCTCCAGAACTTTCTTGGCCTGATTTTTCGCGGTCGGAGACGCTTTTCGATCGACAATGACCACATACCCCTCATCGAAGCGAGTAGCCTCATAAACCCAGCGCGAGGCATTTGCCCTCATGAATGCTTTACCCAGATCCACTCCTGTTGAATTCATGTCATGAAACTTCTTATGTAGAGCTGCATCCTCCGAGTTCGACGGCACATACTCCATTCCACAGGTCGCGCAGGTTCTTCTCACTTCGTGTCCTAGGTCAAGTTGCATCTGTTTTAAGGCGGGTTGCTGCGACACTGCCTTCTTGGGAGGGTCTACCGATGCGCGTACACTATTAGAGTTGACCTCAGTGAGCGGGGAGCTATTGCCAGCTTCCTTGTTCGCCGATTGTTTGCGTTTGAGAAACGCGAAAGTGGGTTTTCGCGTGTTGGCAGGAGGTGAACTCAGCCGAGGCGGCGGTGAGGACGGAGGTGTAGACAGGTCATCATCCTGCGTTCCTTCAGAGAGAAGGATGGAATTGCGACGCGACGGACTGGATAGGACAGCGGCGGACGACTCGCGAATGGCGTATTGGATGCTGTTCTCTGCCTCGTCCGATTCATTCCCCGATTGAACGCGTCTTTTCTTAGCCGCTGGACTCTGGTCGTCATCATAGACGCGCCATACGGGTCTACCGTACGTTTTCATCATAAGGCCTCTAGATGTTCACTGTTTAGCTCAAGTGGCGGAATCCAAGGGTCGGAGAAATCAGACAACGAATCACGTACCGCTTGAATGAATTTGTTACAGTCCACGGCATCTCCCTGTTTCAAAACATATATTCAAGCGAGCCAAGCATCTATGGCCTTTTGGTTTTATGCGATAGAGGGTAGGATGGAGGTTGTAAGATCAAAGATGACGGAAATACAAGACGTAGAAGACACTGGGAGGTGTTTATTATGATTTCACTGATGATGATTTATTTTCCAAATTGGCGGAAGGCTTCGGCGGCCAACTGATCGACGGGTGACGGAAACGCGTGCCCAGGAACTAGTCCCCATTTAGTCATATTGCTCGCCGGGCGCAAGAAATCCATAAGTGAGGGCCTAACACGCCGCTCTCTCTCTCTCCTGATTGACAAAGGGAGGGAGGGTTTCCTTCACAACTTACATAGTACTTCGTACCGGGGAATCTCAAAAAAAAAAAAAAAAAAAAAAAAAGACGGTGACCAAGTAGTCAGTCTGGTTATGGGATCACAGTGATATATGTGTTTCAGTGAATTCTCGAGGAAGGCGAAAGAAGCGTGACGGATTATCAAGGGATGAGGTGGACGTAAGAAGATCCGCAAGAAGTAGGGGAGGAGGATACTCTCGCTCCAGCTTATAACCCGACAAGAGTAACTGTTACCTAGATGGGTTTCGCTGGATTCTGCCGGTTGTTGGAAAGAGAACTCGGTTTCCAGGAGAATGCTAAGAATCCATCATCTAATATATATATATGTGTGTGTGTGTATATATACATATCAAAGGAATCCACTAATGCTTGGAGATTGTGGAACTCTCGACACGGCATCAGCTCTCCTGTCTCTCTTCGCTGTCGTGTTATGTTTCCCAAACTTATACCTGACTTCGCCTCCTTAAATAATGAACGACAATACGGCCACCAACCACATCAATCATACATGCGTTGCTGTATGTTAGGTAAGTAGTAAACATAACTTAGGTACTGTGATGGGCCAGTCAGCTTTTGCGACAAGGTGGCAAGCTTGTTCTTTTTGTCGTATTTTTTTTTGATTGAAGGACATGGAAGTAAATCGAAGAGCACCTAATGATGAATAGATTCTCCCTCTGTATTATTTTAGGTTAATCGCCGTTGGTTGACTGGAATTCCAAGTGGAATAAATGAATCCCCCGGTGCATACTACATACATACTCCGTACATACCGTTCAATGAGTGGATATTCACAGATCTACTGGAGGGATCAAACCCGCCTCGTCCATGCCCTTGCTGGTGGAGCTGGCGACCTTACTGGATAGAAAAGCTGTGACGGTGTTTGCGCCTAACAGGTAATTATAATTATAATCATAATTAATTTTTTGTTTTCATTTTTCCATTTTTATTTTTATTTTTTTCATTTATTAGTTGGCCGAATTCCAAGACAGGGGGCACTGAATAGACATACTCTGGTTCCCTCCCCCTGCAAATGGCATGTTTGTGATCCGCAAAGGAGTGGTAAGTATACATTCATCTACCCCGTACTCTGTCTATTCTCCAGGTGTACCACGTAAAAGGTTTAACAAAAAAAAAATCAGCAATAAATATCTTTCGGAATTGACTGCTCACACACGCCCTTTTTCTGGGATCCTCTTTCTTTCACCTTCCTACCGTTATTATCACTGTTGGATAGAACTGCCCTGAAAAAAAGTAACTGCCATGTTAAGCTTGGTTTTATTACCAACATCGAGCAGATGGCTTGCACATGTACCTCTGGCCGCATATTAATATAAGAATCTGTGTTGCTTATTATTGCAAGTTGGAACAGGGTTTTACTTCTTCCCTGGAGCCATCCTTTGGACCAAGTGGTAAGTGATAAACGTAGGTAGGATCCCATGGTGGCGACTTGTGAGGCGTCTGATCATTACCCCGCCAAGTCCATTACACGTTAAAGGAGGGCTAGAGAGGATCGGCAGAAGGGCATCCTATTTAGTTGTCATATATAGTAGAACAGCAAGTTAGTTTACCCTCTTTTTATTACTAGTCCCGCAAGGTGCTGCAGCAGGGTTCAGATGAAGAACATCATCAGTAAAGACTCCAGGTTGTGAGCAGATACCGCGTACAGAGATACTGTACCTTATATCTAAGGCACCCTTTACTGCCCCTGGTTTAGTCAGACTGTTGTTCCACTTCATATTCTCCCGCAGCGCATAACTGCACTTGGTGCTATGGCCACTGTCGTACAATGGTTCCTCTATAACCCGTGTACTTCGGTGAAGTAAAGTGCATACATGTCATGGAGCACCTCCATGGCTCTAACAGCTGAACAGATGTGTCCATGGCAAACTCTGCAGGCTGTACTTGATTCTAGGGGGTAGAAAACAAGCTCAAACATCACAGGTGTAACCCTGACGTGGAAGTGGTGGCTGCCTGCACCATTCAATGGATAAACCGCTGCCTTCATGTATGTACGAGGTTGCACATCGAGTCATCTGAAAGACACCGGGTCGATCCCAAGACTTGGCAGTGTTTCCTTCCCACTTGAGCTCTAGGACCCTTGTGTCAAGTAAGCCCTTGGGAATCCAAGTATAAATAGGTGCGCACGGCCGGCCAAGGGGATAAGTCGTACCGGTTACCAATCCTTAGGCTTTTTTCTCACTGTAGCCTCGAAGACGAGATGACATTGAAAATGGGCGCCTAGTAGCTAGACGCGCCAATGACAGCCTCTCATGTATTGTCGACAACTGATTAGCGCTGATCGGAAATGAGTATGGCTTCAAATCATCACATAATAAGCTTATGTGATAGAATGTTTAGATAAATTAAGGAACAAACTCGGCCAACAATGGCGCTGTCAGACAACCAGTGGGTGGTGAGAGAGAACTGGGGAGTCGAGACATTAAGTCCTTCAGAGCCTAGATAGATTAACCATACGGGAAGTTTGAGAAGAGTGGGGCAGTGTGAGAAGACTGGATGGGTGGGATTTAGTCTGAGTAGGTTGACTATTCCCCTTAAGTCAAGCTGTCCCGAATGAGTGTTTGATTCCTGAGGCGGACCCGAAGTAAGTCTGGCGTGCGGGTTTGGTTTTGGTTTGCTCTAATTTTTTTTCTTCCGCTGTCTGCGAATCAACCCGCCAGTCTCAACAGTCACATCCTTCAATCTTATCACCTCTTCAATCCCCAATATTCTGTGACCTGGAGAGAACTGTCGAAAGCCACCGAGCAGGTTGGAATAAAGAAAAAAACATTGTATTTTCTAATTACACTCTCAGTGCCTCCAAAAAGGTTCTATTTCCAGTCCTCGGTTCATTCTTCTTGTTCGGGCCATATTTCCTCCATCTTTCCTCTTTTCTCGTTTCAATTCTCACCTCGAAGGAAAGAAAAGAAACAAAGCAAAAGCTCTTTTGGTTCCCCTTCAATCCCCACGAAATCCGACCATTCAACCCCGACATCATGTCACAAGATATTCAGGCAGCAGGGAAGAGAAAGCGTGCGAGTATGTATACCACTTGAGTCTTTATTATCTAACTTTATCATTATCCGTTCGTGCTTGGGGCCTGTTTCTTCATTTTTTTTTTTCACTTACCCTTTTCCCCTCCCATTTCAAAACTCTCTTTTTCTTTTCTTGATTAACAAATCCCTTCTTCATCCTTATTTCATGTCTCGAGGTATCAATTCGAAGACATCGGTCTACTTGAACCATCTTCAAGTGTCCGTCCTACCTACTATTTAATATCCTTTACGCTTCTTCGTTTGTTCCCGGATTCCACGGCCCTGTCCGATTTTTTGAGACAACGCCTGTGTCACCCCCTAACCTCATTACTTCTCCCCCCCCGCTTTCATCAAACCAGTTGTGGTTCTCGCAGCCCAGCCCCGCGACCATCGACCCCTCTTTTAATACTTCGTTCAACATGCAATCAGAACACAATGTACTGCATGCTAATCGCATTCAAACTCCAGGGACTCAGTCTTGTCCGCCCCCGGAATTACCCCAGCTCGTCGCCGAGCAACATGTTCCCATTGCCGCCAACGACAAGGAAACTCAACGCCTAATCGTTGTCCTATCCCATGCTAGTCTGGAGACCTACCGTGCCTCCCATGGTGGGCGCAATGGCGCCGGTCGTGATGAGAAGTACTCATTGCTGAACAGCGATGAGCATATCGGTGTGATGCGCAAGATGAATAGAGACATCAGTGAAGCTCGACCAGATATCACTCATCAGGTATATCTTTTCTTCCTCGGATTGCGGCTTCTGTACATGAGCCTTCGGTGATAAAAACTAACCACACTTGATGCAGTGTCTTCTCACTCTGCTTGACTCTCCTGTCAACAAGGCCGGCAAACTCCAAATTTACATCCACACGGCCAAAGGTGTCCTAATCGAAGTGAACCCAAGTGTTCGAATTCCACGTACATTCAAGCGATTTGCTGGTCTCATGGTCCAGCTCCTGCATCGGCTCTCGATCCGCTCCACCAATTCTCAGGAGAAGTTGCTCAAAGTCATCAAGAACCCCATCACCGATCATCTGCCCCCTAATTGCCGCAAGGTGACCCTCAGTTATGAGGCTCCGGTGGTGCGGACCAGAGATTACATTGAGTCTCTAGGTCCTAAGGAGAGCGTCTGTATCTTTGTCGGAGCCATGGCCAAAGGTCACGATGATTTTGCCGACACATTCAAGGACGACACGATCAGTATCAGCAACTACAGCCTGAGTGCTAGCGTGGCATGTAGCAAGTTCTGCCACGCAGCCGAGGAAGTGTGGGATATTGTATGATTCGCACGTTTCGGATACAATCTTCCTTCGATAGGAACGGCCAAAGCTTGACGAGGTAACGAATTTCCTTGCGACTATCCACCCAATTTGAGATGTCCGAAGTGCAGCAAACATCAACTTTGACAGGACGTGTCTCCTGTGTCACATCCTTTTTTACCGTTCTGGGCTCACTACCTACAGTCTCTTATTGTTTTTTGATATCTTTCGCGTTTCTTGTTTCTTGTGCATCAGGGCAACCTTCAGCGCCGCGCAATACCGAAGGTTACACGATCACTATGCTAAGGGCTCTTTTAGAGAGCTATCAGCTTCCGCTTGGATAGCTCGCCCTTATCAAGTAAACATCAGGGATATCTGCGATAAGAAAGTGGTGAGGGTGTGGTCTGGGCTTTTTCAAAGTTCTTCTACCACTAGGCTTTGCAGTTCGACCATCCTCAGTGAGGTTCTGCGTTCTTCCACAATCTGCATCTCTTCAATTTCCTTTGTGCAAGCAAAGGTCTGTACAGTGCCGGGGCTTTGTATCGCACCTGAAGACCAAGAGATGACGTGACTGTTAATAATAGGATTAAGCACACAAATATAATGGGGAAATCAACTACTGGCAATATCGTTGAGACAAGACGCTCTGCGCTCAGGCTTGACATTGACTTCAGTCAATATTCGATTCTTCTTTTCTGGTAGGAGTAGGACAGCATGTTGTCAGACAGTAGGTATGTAGGCGTACCTGCATGCATGCATCGGATCGGATAAGTGCAAGGTCGTAATGTGTTCATAAAATATTCAACGAAGGCAGTAAGCTGAAAAGCGATTCGCAAAACCGCCTTACAGTAAGATGACTGATCGTATCAATACATCGGGCAATTTAGTTTAGTTCAGTTCAGAAGATAGTTGAAGGCGGAAGAAGAAAAACCAAAGGTGAACATGAAGAACTATCGTGACTATATGCCTGAGGCTACCTAACTCACGGTCAACTTTCCCTCAGTTCCTTCTCGTTTGTCCCCTCCATCACTTTCCCTCTTCTTCCCCCTTTTTCTCTGTGACTCACTTCCTTCGGTGGGGTCTAACAACCAATGCACTATTGACCCAGAATGGATATTTGCATCGACTCCATATCCAAGTATCGATCGGGGTGGTTCGAGTGGCTGGGAATGGAGTCTCGCTCTTCAACGTGGCACGCAGATGTCGCAGCAAATCTTTGGGGTGGATCTCCCGCTTCACTTGACTTGTGGACGGGTTGATTCATGTGGCATTAATTTCTGGAGGGGGTTTTTCGGTTACATGCAAAATCCATCAATCATCCTAATTCGTTACTGCTAGAGTGCAGGCCGATCAACTACTGGAGTTAAAGATCAACGCCGATGTCAGATCCTCTGCATGGGCCCAGTCTCTTTGAAACCAAGTGAGGCCTGCTCGGTGGCCATTTTGTTTTGCTTTGTCTCCTTCCTTCCGGAAAACATGACCCTTGATGTCACATCCGCTCATTCGTCGAATATGATCCACGACGCAGAAACCAAGTGGGTGTTGTTTGGCGGTCAGACGGCGCCATCCAGCGACTAACAGCAGCAGAAGTGCCCAAAACAGGAACGAAACTCCCCCCATCGGTCAGGGTGACCAGTGTGCCCCCCTCAGTGGCCCCAAACGGTCCTTTTGTGAAACTATTCGGCTTTGTGCTGTCTCTGAAAACAAGAGAGCACTGAGGCATTTAAGACCAAAGCCCAACTACTTCGCCCTGGGCCTTTCGAGCTAGAATCTCGAATCCCATATTAGCATCATCTCCTCTCTCAGTTATTATGGTATTCATTAACTTATGATGATGATGATTACTAAAAAGTAGCAGTATGGAGTACTGTGTTGTCTCTGACTCCTTCTTGGCCGATATCGACTCCACCACTACCAATCACCATCCTCCACCTCAACCCTGGTATCGTCGCCTCATTCACTTCAACTTCTGACATGATGCGGTTTTATGCTTGGCTCATCTGCAGTATCCACTGTTTCCTGATAGGCGCCCCATCCGATGCCGGCAGGGCCACCTACAGCACCGTCCGCCAGGCTTTCCCCACGATGACCTGGCGGCGTGTGAGAGTGTTTTCTTCCCCTCGTCTCTAGCTTCACCGATAGGTAACATCATGGGTCTCTTGACCGTCTTCTGGCAGGATTTCGTCTTTTCGGTAAGAGAACGCAGGGCTAGTCAGGTCGACACTTCGTCGGAACTGGTTTGCCTTCGGACGTATTGCGAGCTTATGCAATAACACCTGCTATGCTAGACCGTGTTTTGCATTACTAGAGCGGGTTGTTTCCTTCGGGAACAAATCTTTCTTTTTGTTAGCTTCCGATCAGTCCTGATTGGATCTTAGTTGGGCACTCTTGGGATATTCCCCCGTACAGATAGCTTGGCCTTGAAGTAATATATCTTGTCACCTTGTTGCTCCTTCCTTTACGTCCCATTCTATTTTCACTCGATCATTAGTGTTCGTACCTCTATATATTCTTTCCTTTCACCATACATCTTCCTTCCTCCCGTTACAACCTTAGTCAATCCTCGGATTGTGGTCCTATCCCTGTGAGGACGAAGTCCGAAGCATCTGGTATTGCTTCCGTCCTCTATACTATACTTCCTTCCCCAAGATCCAACCGTCGCGTGTATACTCGCTGACCACCCGGCGAGTCCTTCCCTTCATTGGACATGCCTGTATCACATCTTACCTTGACCGTCTCCCATCTCCCCACCTCAACGTCATTCTTCCTCTCCTGTCTACAGCCCCTGGGATACCAGTTTATTGGTCGTCATGACGATTATATTGGCTTCGGCCAGAACCCCGGGCAACCGGCAGATTTTTGGATAACGGAGCAAAAGCCAGGGTAAGTAAAAGCACCCGGCCAATGCTAATCGAAGTTGTGTGCTGACTCGCTTTTTAGGGTGCCAGCTGGTGCCGCACATGTTGCATTTCCTGCCCCATCAAAGGACGCAGTAGGCCAGTTCTTTATCCATGCATTGAAGGCTGGTGGGAAGATTCACGGAGAGCCGAAAACCCGTGATTCTGAATCTGGCTACTACAGCGCAGCTATCATCGATGTCGATGGCAACAGCATTGAGGCCGTTTATCGTCCGAGCAGCTCATCAGCTAGGTCGGAGGTTAGCAGGTCGGCTTTGGCTTTGCTCGAGAATGGCTCGGTCATATCTAAGACAGCTCCGTCAATTGTCTCGAAGGCGACAAGCAAAGCCAGCTCTGTCAAGCCTGAGAGTGTGGCTCCCCCCAGATCTGAAGCTAGATCTTATGTTTCCAAGGCGACGACTGCTGTAGAGCGAGCTGCGCCATCGGTCGTTCCCCGCGAAGTTCAACCGGCGCCGTCACCAACGTATGTCGTGCATCACACCACCCAGAAAACCGACGATGGTAAGGCAGCGAAGACCATTGTTGGTACTCTTATCGGAGCTGCAGCGGGCGCAGCTATTGCATACGCAATGTCAAAAGGCGACCCAGAGCCTTCTGAAACTACACCGCCGCCCCAATATTCTCCTCGAGATTTTGCACAACTCATATCTCCATCACATGCTCCATCTCCCTCCCAGGAACTGCAAGGCTTCAGAGCCATCGAGGCTCCCCCGGCCAGAAGTGTCTACTCTCAGTCAGACGTACGTCCGACTTTGACTCGCAGTGTCACCTCAAAGAACCCTCGTGCCAGCACCGTCTACGAGGGCTCGGAATTTGTTCCACGGGGAGGCGGCGGCAGCGTTTACCTTGATCAGAACGGACGCCGGGCCTCTGAGGGAAGCGTGTACAGTGGTAGCGACTACCCTATCAGAGCGATTGAATACCCACCACCGGTTGATTCCCGGGGTTACGAGGCCACTCTGATCAGCAGCTTCCATGACAAGTCACGGGCGATGGACAATGGAAGCGTATATTCATCATCGACAATTAGGCCATCCAAAGCCAACTATCAAGACCATCATTCTTCACACAGCTCGCACCACTCGTCGCACCATTCTTCTCGTCATTCTTCCCGCCATTCAATTGCAAGATCTCATTCCAGCAGCACTGTCTCAGCGACGCGTAGTGCCTGCAACGTCCCACTCCCCGAAGGCTCTATCGCATCATTTGGTTCCAGCCGCAGCGGTGCTAAATCGGGCGTTTCTGCTCGCAATATCCCGCTTCCAGAGAGTGTATATGATGATGTTGACGTCGAAACCAATGTTACTCCTGATGATTCTATTAGCCAGGTTGATGATTCGAGGAGATCCTCCGTTTCCCATCGTTCCCACGCCTCTAAAGCGGCTTCCCGGATTTCTAAACATTCCAGCAAATTTGATGAGCCCGTAAAGCCAAGTGACAGTGTGAGTCAGGTTTCGAGCCATGCTTCGAGGGCATCACAGCGGACCATCAAGGCAGGCGGCAGCGTAGCGGGAGGCTCCAAGGCTCCTTCCAAAGTCAGCAGCCGGAGGGGAAGTCAAGTTGCATAGGGATGATTTTGTTCTCCGAGTCCTGTCTACCTCTTACACTACTTCGTCTGTTTTATTGCTTCTTTTGGCCGCTTCTCGTCGCCCTCATCTTCCTCTCTCCTTCTTTATCTTATCTCTATATGCTTAGCCTTTCATAATCCTTCATATTTTTCACGACATACAAAACTAAGTGTGGCATGTTCACAGTACCACCATTGGCGTTATGTTATGTATACATTCGGAGAAGTTATTGCTGTTTGGGATCGATTTAACAATCAATTATGTTTTTATATCGACAGAAATGGTGTCCGAGAAAGAGGAACAATCTATACCAGACTCGGATAGGAAATACAAAGCCTTCCTTTCGACAGGATACAACGCAGACAGGAGAGAATGGGCTTGATGATTTTACCTTCAGATTTGGTTCAGTGTACACATAGCGTGCTCTTTTTTTTTATTTTTATTTTTTAGATTACATGTGGAGTTCAGACATCGACATACATACATACACGCATCATTGTGACACATCTTCTAGCCTTGGGCGACAATACCTCTGTGGACATGAAATTTTATACTTCAGGCCGTGTAGACTATTACGTATACCGGGCAATTGACTGAGAATCCTACGCACCTGCGACAAGGCGTTACTTGCGAACACGCCACTTGGAAGTCAAATAAGACATCATCAATAAACTGGGTTGGATTGGTTTTGCCTCGATAGCTGCTATCTGATACAAATGCCAACACCAGTACACCATCACCACCTGATTTCCTCACGCCATCTCATAACCATCACACCTCAGGCAAGCCTTCACGACCGTACCAGCAACATCCTCCCCCACCCCATCCCCGGCCCAAGGACGGATCCACGAGCCTTGGGCTATATGCTTATCACGTAATTTGCCCGACTCCTTTGAAACAAAAAGATGCCATGAATGCATGAGTATTGGTCATAATGATCGTTGGATATGATATTTCCCGCCGACAGGGAAAAACGGTAAAGAAAATGGGTAACAGGTAATTTAAAACACGCAAATGGAAAAACAAGGAAAGGATCTACGATCACGGTACGCCAGGCTTCGGATCTGATCTAACGGAACGGAAGAAGACGCAGAAGCGATTTGGAAGACCAGGGTGGCCGTGTTATATTGAGATTTCCAAGATCAGATAGCATATTTCCGGGTCCATTCGCGGGCGGTCGCTTCATACCGAGAGCGGTCAGTCTTGTACACATGCGCAATTTCAGGCACCAACGGGTCGTCTGGGTTGGGGTCTGTAAGCATCGAACAGATGGACAGCAGCACTGCAAAAGTACGGTTAGTCTGAAAACGGCGATCGGGAGATACGGACGACGAACCTTTAGAGATTGTGAGAGCAGGGCTCCATTGATCTCTAAGAATGTCGAGACAGATACTGCCATTTGAGTTGATGTTGGGGTGGTAGATACGGGTGGTGAAGTTGACCTTAGGCGGCTTGAATGGGTAGTCGGTAGGGAAGTGGATTGTTAGGAAGAAAACGCCTCCCGCATATGGAGAGTCACCCTGGCAAGCCAATCGCATTAGTGATCATGTTCGCAAGCATACAGAAGGCGAGTGGGTAAGCCCCAAGGTCCTTATTTGCCCCAAAAAGGGCGAGTGCTGCCAAAACAGAGAGGTACAATTGGGATTTCACTCACAGGACCCATAATAGTAGCTTGCCAGTGGAACTGTAATAAAATTGCCTGTCAGTACATTCGCTCGAGAACAGTTTGTGATCGACGGGTGCAGGGGGTGGCGGGAGTCACAGCGTTGGCCCCGCGACACCGCCGTCAACGGAACGAATCGATATGTAGGGCCAGGGGTTTTGGGGGAAATCATACCAGGTCTTCACCTGCAGGTCCAGCGGAGCAGGAGGAGGGAGGATCACTATAAAATAATGGAAGCGTTAGTATTTCGGGAGAACAGCGATCGATCAAAGGAGGGCATCGTGTAGGAAGTGCTTCGTCAATGCCCCGCGGGAATAGTGGGGTGTTTCGTCCAGTGGCACGATGGAGAACGAGGGGAAATCATGGAAACAGAAATATAGATATCTTACCGGCCGAGGTCAGTGAGTTCCTTGTTAATTCTCTTAAGAGCCATTTTGTAGGTGATGTGATGTTAAAAAAAGAGAAGGAGAGAGAAAGAGGCTTTTAGAGCGACCACTCAGTCGAAAGAGCGGTTGGTATCGAATTTAGGAAATCTGCACAACACAATCCGATCAGTACTGTAAGGCTAGAAGTGAGGGAAGAATAATATGATAGGATGTAATGAGAAGGGAGAGAATGGAATACATCAAAAAATCAAAAGAAAGTTTTTTGGGGGAGAAAGGAGTGTTGGAGGTGAAGTACTCACAGTGAGAATGATTACGTCGGAGGGGGGGCAAAAAGAGAAAGAGGGGGAAATTGGGCTGAAAGAAGAAAAAGAGGAAGAGAGAGCGAAGAGGGAGACGGAGGGAGAGGGAAAGGCAAGAGTGGATGAGCGAGATCCAGTGACCGTATTACCGGTCCTGATACTTTACCATACGTACCTTTCGCTCAGCCACACCCCTTCTTAAGCCACACAGAAGACCTCTACTCTGTACTCCGTACGGAGTACAGACATAGTAATGATATACTACTAAGTTAGTACTGGGGCTGTAGTCAGTGCCATGTACAGGTAGTACAGATTCTGTAAGTTTGCGCAAGTGCGAAAAGATGGCCAAGTAAAGGTATCGCCACTTTCAGCCATGGTTCTCATTCATGACTGGACACTAAATACCATGCCTGGAAGAGACCCTCTTTTTTCCTCTTCTTTTTTCTTTGTCTCAAGGCATTGCATAACGGAGAACACCCCCATTATTACAGAGTACATAGAATATAGACCCATCTTGTTGGTACACGTTGTACATATAACTACATACAGAGAGGACATTTACAGTTTGGTTTCAATGTTCTTTCCCCTCCACTCACAGAAGGCACCGTCTTGAAACACACCCCCCCCCTCCCACACACACACACACACACACACACACACACACACTCTCTCTCTCTCTCTCTCTCTCTCTCTCTCTCTGTGTGTGTGTGTGTGTGTGTGTGTGTATTATGATCCAAGGTATTCTTGAATTACTTCCTCCCCTTTCAGCGACTTCCCGTTCAGGTCTTCATCAAAATGTCGGATCATTCTCATATAAGCCTAATCAAGCCTCGCGTGCCCACATGGCGCAGTCTAATATCACGTGCCTATAGGGCACCACCGATTCTCGAAGGCTCTACTCCGTACTCCCAGTAGTAATGATTGAAGCTAGGCCAGCAATAGTCATGGGGCAATTAACTTGCTTAGTAAGACATTGAACACTGTTATTTGACTTGATGTGTTCTCTCTGTCTACCCAACTACTATATATACACACATTATTGATTCCAAATTAGCCGCAAGCGATTCTACGAGGATGACAGCGGCGAGTGTCCTAAACAAACGCCTGGACTCCAGTGATGGCGCGCCCCAGAATCAACGCTATACCAATCATTAGCATCAGGCCCTTCATGCCGGAAGAAACGGTGATTTCTAATGCGGTCGGATACTCACTGTGAATGTCGCTCTGGCCCTCGTACGTTTGCACCACAAACAGGTTGGCTACATGCCGAGCGATATGGTATTCGTCGCTGGTTGCATTTCCGCCGAAGACTTCTTGAAGTCTATCGAATGGTTTAAGATTAGTATCATAATCTCGACTAGTAACGGGGATGGGTGTGGGACTACATACATCCGGGAGTTGGCCAGGGCCCGGTCACAGTTCTGTCTTTTAATCATGGAGATCATTTCAGGGGTAGATTTGCCTTGGTCCTTGAGCCTAGCAACCTGGGTCGCTGCTAGCGTCCCATAAGCAGCATCCGTGGCAGCATCCGCCAACTTCTTCTGGATTAGCTGATACTTCGCCAGAGGGTTGCCCTTGAACTGCTTCCGCTCTAAGGCATAGGTCCGGGCACGGCTTAGGCAGTCTTCAAGAGCCCCCATGGCACCAAAGGCGATTCCTAGTCGAGCACTGTTAAGGCAGGTGAAAGGGCCAGTGAGGCCTTCAACATCGGGGAACATATTCTCCTTTGGTACCGGGCAGTCATCCATTTGAATCATACCGGTGATAGACGCCCGTAAGGCGGTCTTATTCTTGATGGCCGGAGTCTCCAAGGTTCCTGGGGGGCATTGGTCCCGTTCCACCACAAACCCGCGGATCTTACCTGTGCTCTCCAGCTTGGCCCATACTATCATTATGTCGGAGATGGGGGAGTTCGTAATCCAAGTCTTCGTGCCAGAGAGCGAATAATAGCCCTTCTTAGTAGGATGCTCTCGCGCAACTGTTTCCATAGAGCCAGGGTCTGAGCCATGGTTAGGCTCCGTAAGTCCAAAACAACCAGCAATCTTTCCCTTGGCTAGTTCTGGCAGGAATCTATCCTTTAACTCCTGGGATCCAAACTCATAGATGGCTGTCATCGCCAGCGAGCTCTGCACAGACATTCCTGATCGGTATCCGGAATCCACTCGTTCAACCTCCTTAGTTATCAGACCCGATGCAACGGTGCTGGCACCTGCACAACCATAGCCCTCAATGCTGGCGCCGAGAAGACCCAGTTCGCCCATTTCTTCCAGTATTTTGCGATCATAGTTTTCGTTTCGATAAGCATCTGACAGATACTTGTCAGTTAGCATGTATATCCACTATCCCTCTGTGTAATGAACTGAGACTTTCATAGACAGGTATCAGCTCTGCCAAAGGGAGAGATCGCATACCGAGAACCCGGGGTAACAAGCGCTCTTGGCAATACTGTCGCGCCGTGTTTTGTATCGCCAGTTCCTCCTCAGTATACAGCTCCGATGCAGCCAGAGGATCTTCCCAGTTGAAGGCGGTCGCGAAACTGCGCACCGGCGCATTGAGTGAAGCTGCGGGCGCCTTGTGCACGTGGCTTGCCGACTGGAGGTGACGTGAAGCCGCACGGAGCAATGATCGATTCATGATGATGGGTAGTATAATGCGCGGTGACAGATAATAATCTTCTCAAACAGAAGTGGAAGCGACGTCGAATAAGCTCTTTATGGTTATATAAACGCTTTCCAGCTGAATTGACAACTAGTACGGCATACGTGAACAGAAAATAGTATGGAGTTGTTGCGGGGAAGCTGTTTGAATCGCCCGAACTAAGAAAGGAAGACCGAACTTTAAATAAAGGAAGAATTTCCCTCGGCAATCGCTCCGGGTGTCGGCCTGCCGTTTGTGAACTTCCGCATCCACCTTCCGCAACCACAGGGATAGCCGTAGGCCTACCTATTGATACACAAGTTAGGTGCTAAGACAGATCTCAAAAACAGGACCCGTATCATTCAATGCGTCCTATGGGAAGTGCAGGCGGATATTTGGTACTTCCCCCACCCGCTATCTATCGGTTTCGGCTTGTGTTCCGTTTCCTCGGCAGTGTCACCCAATGAACAAGTAGAAATCCATATGTGCCATATTCAATGTAAAACGCAAGGGGGAAGAGGAGGGAAGAAGAAAAAGAGATTGATAGGAGCAAGTCGCCATTATCGAGCCTCTCAGTTATATCGTAGAATGGCTTGTGGATATGTTGTCATCCCCATTATACTGTGCACTACGACCTAGCATCAAGCCAGATCGTACAATTCTCGAATCTTATGTACGCCGAAATTGTTATACAATTGGTTCATTGACTTGAGAAACTTGAAGCAAGACTCGTATTAGGTAATTCTTCGTGGAATGCCGCAACAGTTCGGTTTATCGCCCTCTGATGGGTGAAGCTAAGTGTACCGGTTTCGAGACCTAGTAGTGAAGTCCGCCATCCTGCGACATGCAGAGGACAAGTGCCAGCCCCTGCCCTCAGAAGGATTTCCAAAGATAACAAGGCCTCCAATATAGAGAGTCTTTCGGTTCATGCGGCAGCATCCCGAGCGAGACCTCTCTCCATGTGGAAACTCTCGGTATATAAGAGACTAAGTAAATTAGGCTTCACCGTCTGATGGAGATTCGTTTCAAAGCGCCCTGGTGCTTTATAGAAGCTAACCAATGCTGTAACAAACCAGGAAAAGAGGTGTATAACAAGCACAATCCTGCCACAATCTGCAAAAGTTCCCGGCGGCAGCGGCGGCAGCCCGAATCAGGCAGGCATTTGGGACTGAAGGAAGTCAAAGACCCCTGTAGGGAAATACTCCTCGTCGAAGCCCCACAAATCAGCCATCATAGGATCCACTGAGCCCTCCGAGAGACCTGGCCGTTGCTTCAATTGTGCCGCAGCAGACTCCAATCCACTGCCTCTCTCAGCAGACAAGGGAGCTATACCTAGTAGTGGTGGCGGGTGATTTAGTATGGTATCACGCTCACCCAGTGGCTGGGCCCCAGGGATGATTATAGGTTTGAACATAGAATTTTGAGAAGGGTCACGAAAGTTCTGCCCCGTGGACTGCCCGTGGTAAGAGTTCCTTCTCTCCCACTCCTCAAGTCCCGTAAGCATTTTTTTCAGACCACGGGCGATGTGGTGACTGAGGTGACGCTCGCTAGCTCGCCTACTGCACGACACCATCAACTCAATAATCCGTCCAACCAAGGCCCGCACGTATGCGATATCGATGGACAAGTCCGCCGATGCAATAGAATTCTGCTTGTCCGGCTTACTAGGTATACAGCTCGAGCAGCTTCTAGCTGCGATCTTTAACAGAAATACAGCGGCAAAGGTGATCATGCTATGTAGATACAACGGAACACCGACCAAAGCCCTCTGTATATCAGGCTCATCCAGGACGACCAATAGCGTGCCAATGGCAGATTCTATGGCCAAGTTTGCGCGTTTTTTTCGCTCGTTAGATAAGGGACGGGCTGACAGTGAACAATGATATGTCCGCAATGCAACAGAATTCAGTTGTAGGCGGGAGAAATGGTAGTGTAGATAGACGGCTTTATAAGGGTACGCACCAACATAACGACTCCCGGCTATTCAATCCAACATGTTAGATCGCAAATATTCAATCAGAGGGCTTAAGGATAATTATACCTAGGCGAGGTAACCACGCAGATTGCCACTCCTCAAGATCGGCGTCGAATTTGTCGATTGTAGTAAACTCGCTCTCAGGTACCTCAAGGTCGACGTCGGGGCCAAAAGCATGGTATATACGAGTAAGGATAATAAATAAATCCACCTGGCTGTGCAAACGCAAGTCGGATTGTGTTACAGTGGGGGACATAGTAAAGGTATTATGATTGGTGATACTCTTGTCCTCGTGAATTATGGGTGGTCGACCATAAGCGATGGAGAAATGGTGCTCCAGAGTCTTTTATCGTTAGAATCTGCAATGCACAACTTCAATGGAGAAGACTTACATAGAGAAGATACCACAATCTTGCCTGTTCTTGGTGCTCGGGTGAGCCTTGAGTAGCCTTTCTGTATGATTGGTGTAGGTTGCGCTCGGTTGCAATACGGACTGCATACCCCGATAGCTTCCAACTGACATCTGCAAGCCAAAAAGCGCCTATACATAATGCGCGTAAATCATCCAAAGTATGGTGTCTATCAAGCATTGACTCTGATGCCAATTTCGCGAATTCGGTGTAGCAGGTATCAAAAAGTCTTTCTTTTTGGGGCATATGCAAAGCTGTAACAGTGAGGATGGCTGCAGACAACATTGAAGAAGAGTTTCGGACTGATGTAAGGTCCTTATGCACAAGGGCTATGCCATCCCATAAATAGCGATTGAGTACCTGGTCAAAGAAATAGAACAGCTCCTCCGCTTCTTGTAAGTCCACAGTCCCTCGTGAGATAAGGTCAGTGTCGCGGTCCGAGGCATGATGCCGTTCGGGGGTACTTTCTTGAATATCACTCAACTGAGTCACTTCATACAAGCTACCCATCGGAGCAGTAACCAGTAGTTTCTCTTCCCTGTCAATAGCAGTTTGCGATCGTTGCTGGGTCGTATCGGAGGGCGGGTAGGATACTCCAGCCGCTGATTTAGCACCGCCATCGGTCGCATCTCTTCCGACGTCGCCCCTCGAGGTATGTATGTCCTCTGTAGATACTGTAGACCCCCGTCGATCGCTTTTCTTATGCGGTGTTTCCGCTGATTTGCCAACGGCTTGATAGTACGAGAGCTCTGGCAATTGTGCCTTTCTGAGTAGATCGGTCATGGCAAGCTCTATCGTCGTCTTCCATCTACATAGAGTGTACAATTGGGTTAGTAACGAGACATGCTTCGTTGAATCCGGGTTGAAACGAAGCAAAGCGCACGTACTCCGCTTCATCGTCGAGCAAAGTTTGGAGGCTCTTGTTGACGACACAACCCAAGCCCATGCGACGACATCTAGAGCAGACCGATTCCCCTGCCTTCATATCACAACGGACTTTATGCCTTTTGCATTCGGTGCACGCACGTATTTTTCGCGAAATCTTGGGTATATGTATTGATTCACGTCGAGAGTTAGCCTCCGGCGCAGGATATGGCAGAGCACCTCGGGGAGGTGAAGTGGACGACGCATCGCCATTGGCTTCGAAATCAAGGCGACTGCGTTTCATGGTTTAGAAAAAATTCATCGTTAAAATCTCAGCTTGCAGTGGGGGTCTCGTTTCTTTTTTATAGATATTGTCTACGGCCACAGAAGTGGATTTCAAGTGGGACGAGGGGGGAGGGACTGCAGGAGATACTAGTGATGGAGAGAATGCTAACTCCTCACTGCCTTAGGCCATACTGTTTAAGCTTACTGAAACCGTTCCTTTTCACTGGCCAGGCTTTGGGACCCTAGAGCCTTAGGCGAAAGGAATGGGGATTATTAGCGGGGGAAGTCACGTGGGGGTATCTCGGCGGAAGCTAACCCCAATGAGGTCTAATGATGTATTCCCGCCCGTCGCGCGTTCTCAAAGCTCAACGCGCGTTTGGTCGCGGTAATCACTCGAGAAACCTTTTCTGTGATCTTGGTTAAACCAAAAGGAAGTCCTGGCCGGGTTCACTCGCGCTTCTTATTTTACAATAACAGGAAACTCATTATGGGTATTAAGCGTAAGTTCACCTCAACCAACTACTTGTTGCCGCACTACCGTGGAAGCTCATTTAGTACTAACTTTGATCTCTACAGACTTGTACCAGGTAATCGCGGAGAATGCCCCTGATGCGATCAAGGCGGGAGATATCAAAAACCATTTTGGCCGAAAGGTTGCTATAGTATGTCACGTCCCTACTTTTTTAGCTGTGCACTAGGGCGCTGTCAGGGCTAACGGGTAATCGCTGGAGTCCAGGATGCGTATGTAACTTGATCCTTCTTGGGGAACAAGCGGAGACTGGAAACTAACATACCACAGCTCCATGAGTATCTACAGTTTCCTTATTGCCGTGCGCTCCGAGGGCCAACAACTCATGAGCGACACCGGTGAGACCACGTCGCATCTGATGGGCATGTTCTACCGCACTTTGCGAATGGTCGACAACGGAATTAAACCTCTTTATGTCTTTGATGGAGCTCCGCCAAAGCTGAAGTCTGGCGAGCTGGCCAAGCGTACCGCTCGAAAAGCCGAAGCTACTGAGGCTCATGAGGAGGCCAAGGAAACCGGCACAGCGGAGGACGTTGAGAAGTTTTCACGGCGTACGGTACGGGTTACGAGAGATCACAATGCGGAGTGCAAGAAGCTATTGAAGCTTATGGGTATCCCATATATTGATGCCCCCACCGAGGCAGAGGCGCAGTGCGCAGTTCTTGCACGGGCGGGAAAGGTCTACGCTGCTGCTTCCGAGGATATGGACACGTTATGCTTTGAGGCACCCATTCTTCTGAGGCATCTTACGTTCAGCGAACAGCGAAAGGAACCGATCCTAGAAATTCATCTCAGCCGCGCGCTGGAAGGACTCGATATGGACCGAAAGCAGGTAAAGCCACCCATAATTCCGCCAGCAGCGCTTGGTCTTGCTTACGTTTTGCGGTATAGTTTATCGATCTTTGTATCTTACTTGGCTGCGATTACTTGGAGCCAATTCCCAAAGTTGGACCTAATACTGCCCTGAAATTCATTCGGGAGTTCGGGAGCCTCGAGAAGGTTGTTGAGCATATGGAGAACGACCCGAAAAAGAAATACGTTATTCCGGAAGACTGGCCATATCAGGATGCAAGAGAGCTTTTTCTCAACCCAGACGTGAGAGATGCTAGCCACCCAGACTGCGATTTCAAATGGGAGGCACCAGATATTGAAGGCCTTGTGGAATTCTTAGTGAAAGATAAGGGCTTCAACGAGGATCGAGTACGCAACGGCGCAGCTCGGCTCCAGAAGAATTTGAAGACTGCCCAGCAGTCACGTCTAGAGGGCTTTTTCAAACCTGTGGCCCGGACCGATGAGGAGAAGGCGAACCTCAAGCGTAAGCACGACGAAAAACTTCAGGAACAGAAGAAGCGTAAAAAGGAGGAGGCCAAAGCCAAGAAGGAGGCTAAGGCAAGACCCCGCGGTGCTGGGTGAGGGATTCGCTCACCTTGATCCAGTCAATGTTTTTGCGCGACAAGGAAGTTTTTGAAAATGCGACGGCTAAGTAGGGGGGTCAAAAAAAAACAATAAGATGGCGTTGGCGTTGCGTGATAAGCTCACTGGATTGTCGGTTTGGCTTTTGGTTCTGAGATGCGGCGTTTCATTGATGGTGTGCAAATCACGGACTGTAATTTTTGTATATTCTATGAATAAAGGCTACGACATTTGTACAAGAGGGTAGGGAGATGTGGTCGTCTCTAGCGTTTATCATATTCGAAGGCATGCCTTTTCTTCTATCGGAGGGTTTGCCATCGTGGGTCGGTAAGGTCAGGCCGCCATGTGCCGAGAGACGTTCTCAGTGAAACCCAGCTTGGATTCTGTGATCCCTCAGCGAAGAAGCATGAAAGTAGTAAACATAATGCCTTATCACATGGACATACCCATTCTTCACCACTAGGCAATACAGGGAATTGTTTTGCTGGTTGTGACGGTCCGTGGTGGGGTTGGGCATTGTTGTAGTGATAGACACCATTGTACCTCAACACAGCGGGTATTGATTTCTCTGATTATATCGGGAAATATGACTAATCTTCGTTTTAGATGATGCAGCTACTGGGCTATTATCTCTAGGAGACGAGGGTTCGCTGTTGCTACCACTGTGGTGCGAGGGATCAGACTCAAGAGTTTCTGGTCGAGTGATATATATCGCGGGCGGGGCAGCAGATGGATCCTGCACACTATAGTAGGGTTACCGAGTGACGAAGGAGATAACAACGTTTGAACGTCACGACCAACAGATCCTAACGCTATAGCGATAGAGTAGAGCCCATAAGTTCAGCACTCAGGCACATTAACCGGGAAGGATATAAGGTCATGATATCAAATGGGGAGGTGTTTGCTTGGGTACACATGCTTACTCGTAACCTAGATTCAATTCATGGTCACGATGCTGACGATCAACCACTGGGCGTGCATCCACAATAGCACAAGTGGGTTTAGCTAGGTAGACTACAGACTGAATCTATCCCCATATTACTATATATTTGAGGCACAGGTCCACCGCAAGCTGTACTCCAAGGGGCGTGTATAGAATGTTTCTGTACAGTGCAAAACACATGATTCATACATGCCTACGACCAGCGCATTGATCAGGCCTCGCGGCCAATTGTCGGAATGCCAACCATGGGTTGCGATCTATATTCTTCAAGTAGAGGAACCAATAACCACACGACCCGTCAGCTTTTCAAGTATGGAATCTCCTAAGTTAGGAAGAAACTCAAACAGGCGATCCATACATCATTCCCCCCTCGTGACCTGAACGGCACGAGGCGGCCAAATGGAAGCCTCCACGGGGGTTCTCCCTTCATCGACAACATGCAAGGGACGGACAGCTCGATACCCTCCGTATAGCTTGGACTTTTATAGCCGTCCGGCAAGCTGCCAGGAGGCCATGAGCTTGATCAAACAACGGATTCCAATGGCCGATCTCAATGGATGTAGAAACCCCCCTCCCCCCAAGATTGGCTTGGTCAACCCGGAATTATTGATCCTGATAGAGCCAACCAGACCGTAAGGTAGAACAACCGAAGACAAGATTGATGATCCATTAAACCCCAGGAATATATTAACATAGCCATGATGATTACAACACACTATGATCGTTCTTACTTTTGCGAGAGCCTTCTTGTGGGTTGCGAAAAAGACACGGAAATTAGGTATGTATACATGGAAGGAAACGCGCCTCACCTTTCTCCTCTTTCCTTATCCCACCAAAGGCATCAGATATAGATATAAATATAGAGAAGCTGACCGTATGCTTTGGAAATAAATATTAAGGGATATCTAACTTAAGAATCAATTTGGGAAAAAACATATATATATATATATATAAAACTTAGGAGGGAGAAAGGGGTGGGAAGAGGTGGAAGCAAAACGCGTAGAAAGATTGTAGAGGATGCGCGTGGGAGTGAGGATGTGCGATCTGTCGATAAAATGCAATGGATATCCACATCATTCCCAAAAGCTAGCGTTAAGGACTAACTCTTATCATAATATTGACCACCCGAGAAAACGGCCCTACCAATTATCTACCGAGAAAAGGCACAAAGAAAAAGGGAAAAAAAAAATAGTGGGAAGGGGAAAAAAAAAGAGGAGAAACAGCAGAGGGCCTTTGACGTGTAGGTGCTTGGGAGTGAGTGATCTTGTGTCAACACCCGCTGCCCTATAAAGCGCGGATGCCCCGCGGCCTTCCACCCCTTCCGTCGTCGACTGCTTTTCCTTCTATTTCCATCAACGATCCACCCTTACGCCTGTTGAACTTGAATATCGTCTCGTAGACCTCGGTCTCTCTTACAATTTCGACTTAAAATTACAAGTTATACTTACCCACCCTAAAGATGCCTCCCAAGAAAGCTTCCACCGGCGCAGCCAAGAAGACTGGCTCGACTCATGCTTCCTACCGTGGTATGATTTTACTGATCTTCCCTCACCACCACATCGCGCTGGAATGATCTTAATATCGTTTTTGTCGCGAATAAGCGCTGATTCATTTGATATAGATATGATCAAGGATGCTATCCTGAATGTGAGTTGATCACGCTGTTCCCGAGGCGCTTTCGGAGATGGATGTTGGGTCCAAACTTCCCCGACCGTGACACGTCTGCACGGTGTTGGATTACCCCAACGTCACGTCGGAATTTCTTCAATTTTATCCCAAGCCGGTCGCTAACATCTCGTCCTCTAGCTGAAAGAGCGCAATGGCAGCAGGTATGTTTTGTTTTCGTCTCCCCGCGCAAGGGCCCCGTTCGTCAAGCGACGTGGCAACCGCAGAAGGCGTCAAGTCACGTAGTAGGCTAATTTGATCGCCCATGACAGTCGCCAGTCCATTAAGAAATATGTTTTGGCAAACAACAAGATTGCACCTGCATCTACCAACGCCTTCGATAGCCAGTTCAACAAGGCTATTAAGGCAGGTGTTGAGAAGGGTGAATTCACCCAACCCAAGGGTAAGTTTCAATTTATTGCGCGCGCCCTTCAGAGTCGCCTCCCACCTGTGACCACCAAACTAAGCACGTTGCGTGTGCCCTCTATTACCGTCGCGTATCCTTTGTTTTGATGGGGTGTGGGCTGACGCGTCTTATCTCCAGGTCCTTCTGGACCCGTGAAGCTCGCCAAGAAGGAAGCTGCTCCTAAGCCTGCTGCTAAGGTAAGTGATCTATGTCTTCTCATCTGTCTAGAATTCAACATGATTAATACTTTTATCAGAAGAGCACCACCACAGCTAAGCCGAAGAAGGCTACTGCCACCACTACTAAGAAGGCTGAGAAGGCCGAAAAGGCCGAAAAGGCCGAGAAGCCTAAGACGACCACCAAGAAGACTGGCACTACTGCTACCAAGAAGAGTGTCGGCAGACCTAAGGCGAACACCGCTAAGCCTCGCAAGGCGTCCACTGCTGTACGTATTACTATCGGTCTCCCTTGTCCCGGGACGGTATACTAACATCCAAGCAGGCTCCTGCCGTTGTCGACCAACCCAAGGTCATCGGCAAGACGAAGTCCGGTCGTGTGACCAAGACAACGGCTAAGCCTGCTGAAAAGGCGACCAAGAAGTCTACTAAGAAGGCTTAAAGCCAATCTCTCGCAGAACATATTTTTGAGCGGCTAGTTGATTTCGTGTTCGATTTGGTTGACATGACGAGGGCTTCGGGCTGTATCTTTCTCTTTCTTGGGTTGTATCCCTTCTTTCTTCGGCTGTAATTTCTTTTTTCTTATCTCTCTCTTTTGTCGATGCGGTGACTGCTTCTGGGATATGTTGATGGTTTATTCTTTCGTTATCGGTAGGGTTGGCGTCTTGCGGTGGATATGGGAAATGTTTTTCTGTTATTTGATTTTTTTTATTTACTCTTTCTGTGCTTGATATTTATTTGCAGCACGCGTCAGCGGACAGTGCTATGCTGTGGAATGGAGTTGATAACCATGCTTCTTCAGCGAGAGGCCCCCTATCCAGTCCCGGTGTAGAATTGTAGAAGTCTCTCACAGCCCGGTTTTGTGGTCTGGAGCGCAGGTAATTAAAGGATACTGAAGGATCTTGTTGATCCGAGTGCGGGTGCTCATCTGAGGGGGTAGATGGACTCCACGCTCCTTGAGCCAATTCCAAAAATAGCAGATAGAAGAAAAGTGTTGAAAGCTGGCTGCCTTTGCGCTTGATATGGTGGCATTTACCTGTTCAAAGGTTGATTATTCCTGCTTATATGCTCAAAGGACTATCTTTAGACCTTTGAAGTATTAGATATAAAGGAATAATGCAGCTATTCAAAGGCTGAATAAGAAAGATAGTAAAAGCTCAGAACAATGAGCTCTGCAGTATTTATACAGTGATGTTCCCCTTAGATAGCTAAAAAATCAACCTTCTTCTTCCTCACTTGAACAACCAAAAGTACCCACTCAGTGCATAAGTAGTACTCCGTAGTATACTAAGTAGGCATTCGAGGAATAACTTTGTTACGCACCTTATGGAGGCTTGAGCAGGCGGGTCTGCTATTTCTCAAGGCCAAGTATCGTGTGAAGGCTGTAATCTAAGCTCCTGATCAATATACTAGGAAGAATGATGGGCATTACACATAGGGGTTCATTGCGTCAGGACAGGACAGGATCGTTTGGGTGTGACGTTGACACCGTCGATCATTAGCACAGCATCTGCCGCGGTTGGATAAGGAGGGCCAGTCTGGGAACCCCATTATGGTGTAATTCTATCAGAATGCTCCTAGCAGCATGTGAGATACTCTGAAGGAGGGAGACTGTGATAGAGTAAAAAAAATAGGGAGTTGATTATAACTTGTGAGATTGTTAGTATTATTATTGTTATTGTTATTACTCTGTATTATTATTATCATTAAATTAATCACTTCTTTTTAATTGAGGGAAATGTAATTTGCCCGAAACATTTCATTCCATGTTTCAAATACGTCTTGGAAGCGACAATTGAAGTATGATGTTTCTAGAATTCTTTCACGGGGATTGTATACATACTGCTCCAGTATAATACTATTAGTAGAAATGCCACTAGACTAGTACAGCTGCATAGGTTATGCAGTTTGCCGCCCCGTGTCCGTGTCTCCGTGAAGTGTCACTTGTCATCGTGATACATACACATACAGCGGTACTTCGGGAAGCATGTAACCCGTTGTTTCAGTTTACAGTGTATGAGGCGATGGGCAATTTCTGACTGATCTTGGCGGATAAATATGTACATTCTGGGAACCGAACCCGATTAATCGACCTCTGGATTTTATGCTAAAAGTGTCTAGGACTAAGGTTCCGTCTACAGCAAACTTTGGTCTCTACAGTCTTGATCCGACATAATGTATATACATACCTTGTGTGGATTTCATATGACCTAGTTAGATCATATTAATAATCATATTAATACTAGTTAGTACAGGTATTGTTACCTAATTGTCACTGTACGGAGTAGTTACAGTAGTAAGTAATAGATAAAGCAAAGCAACACATGGCTGCCATACCTTATCTTCCGTGATACAGTCCGGGGGTGGGAACTGGTTCCTTACTTTTCTGTATGGACGATTACAATACACAGGGCTACCCCCGTTGCTGGAAAGTGATTAATTAATGCTGACTACTTAAACAAAACTGTGGAGCAAAAGATCCATCCTGACCAGGCACAATAACTGACACAGATGGGTCCCTCCGGGTTTCCTTGTAATAGTATCTACCAACCAGCCTTTTTTTTTTTTTTTGTGTGGCTTTGTGATGTTTATGATTATACTTACGGAGTAGTATTCAGTGAAAGAGAAGTTTGAAAATTAATTTAGAATAAGAGGGAGAGTAGTTTAGCTTCTCTGCCTGTCACGGGGCATTATCCATCTGTTTATCTGTCAACATTAAAGGTTCTCTATGTCCATTATTTATATCTGCATTAGGTACGGAGTATACACCCCCTCTCCACCTACTATACCCTTATATACAAGGTACAAGTACTGAAGGTACTCAGGAGGTACAGAGTCTAGGTATGTACATACAAGGTACCTCACCTCATACATACTCCATACAGTCATACAGTGTAATACCACCCCTTCTCCAGGCACCCTTTTTTCGCTCTTTTTTTTTTTTTTTTCCCTTTTTTCTTTTCTGTCCTGCCCAGACCCAGAGTTACAATACCAGCCCATACCAAATTGTGAGGTCTTTTTCCCTCCTCCCCTTCCTACCAAGAAATAATACCGTCAGTCTTGTTCCTTTTCCAAAGGTTCCCCCCAACCCATCAATCATCCCATAACGTCGACTTGTGTCTACTTTTCACACACACTCTCTACTGCTCGTCCTCCTTCCCCTCCTTGTCTAATTTGCCCTTTAATCAACAGCTCATCCTTTCTACATTTTCGTCCGGCTTCCCTTTATTTTCGCACTCATTAATCGTCTTGGACTCGAACACGTTTGCCTGTGCCGGTATTGGTCGACATACATTTCGCCATTTTCCTTTCTTTTGATGAACATGCCAATCCGTCGCTAAATTGATGCCACGCCCTCCCCGGCTGGTGGCTTCAGCTCGACTCGGGGACCTTTTCACTTGCATCTCGAATCTTGTCATTGATCACTCGCTGTCACTCTCCCATCCCCCTTCCTTTCCTCGCTATCTTCCCTCCCGTCGTTGGCCGGAGAGACAGCCGATCCCGGTTCCCGCCCAGCACGCTGGCTGTTTGCTGAGCTTAGTAGGCCCACGCAGGTCTCACGTCACCGTTCTATCCCCTCCTTTCTATACACACCGTTCGGCGCTCCTACTTTGCGCCGCAGTCGAAATCTAGCGATCATGCCATCCTTTTCTAATGACAGCTCTTATCAGACGGCCACTGCCACAGCTACCCACCCTCGTTCTTTTGACTCGCCGCCAGGGAAACCGCACGATAAAAGTCCCGTGGGTAACACTTTTCTGTGGACAAACTGGCCCAATGGCGACACCAGTCACCTTGACGCCCCCGGAAACGACCGCCAACCGCTCGCGAATGGCAGTGTGTATTCTTTGAATGGGCCCCGATCAAGCGCCAGTTCATACAACCGGGATCTGTCACACTCGAAAGATGGAAGCATGCACTCATTAGGCCATATATCGGCCCGAGACCCACGGGATGGTGGACGGCCTTCCATGACTCACGAGCAAGATTTCGTACAGAAATCTACTGATGTTGGTATTGGTGGAGGTTCGGCGACGGCGTCAATAGTCAGTCAGCAGCCTAATGGTACATCACTCAACCTACGATCGCCAAATGGAAGACCTATGATGAATGGGGATCATGCTCGACCTTCTGCCGATGTACTGGTTTCTCCGGAATCGATAGGGAACGTTTCGGAGACATGGCAGTCAACTTCGCAACCCAATGACACAGGACGTCTCTCACCTGACCATGGCCGTCTATCCCCGTCGCAGAAAAGCCCCCATCGGTGTTCTTCCCCCCCACCCCCATCCAACACAGAACAACCTGAACCGGCGAATTCCGGCCTTCGACATCGACATACGCTACAAGTCCCAAGAAACACTAGCGGCCGTCGAAGTAGTCGCGACCACTCCGAGGATGCGGCATATAGCAGCGGACGATTGTCTCCGACAGGAGGAGTTCGTCGTACCTCATTCAGTCTTGGCCGCCGGGCCAGCAAAACCAATCGCTCAGATACCTTCCTGGACGAAGCTAATCCTGATGAAGATGCAGCCAGATGGGCAGAGGCCATCAAGCAACGAAGGGCTTCAAAGAGGAGACGCCGGGATGACGACGATGACGACCGTGTTATCGTGGGAACAAAGGTGGATCAAAACCATGTGAACTGGGTCACAGCGTACAACATGCTTACAGGAATTCGGTTTACCGTCTCGAGGATCAATGCAAAGATGGACCGGGAACTCACGCCTGCTGACTTTGAGGCCAAACATAAATTTTCCTTTGACATGTATGCCCTAGTGTCCCTGTCCCCTATCCTATAGTCACTCGTTCTTTCACTTACACTAGACCCCTGGGTAGAACTGGCAATGAGTTAACACCTTCCGCCAAATACGATTTCAAATTCAAAGACTATGCGCCTTGGGTCTTCCGACATCTGCGAACGAAATTCCGGATTGATCCTGCTGACTACCTGATGTCTCTCACAAGCAAGTATATTCTTTCAGAATTGGGCTCGCCTGGGAAAAGTGGAAGCTTCTTTTACTTTTCGAGAGACTATAAATACATCATCAAAACCATACATCACTGCGAACACAAGTTGTTACGCAAGATCCTCCCAGAGTATTATAAACACGTCGAGCAGAATCCCAACACACTGATCTCACAATTTTATGGCCTTCATCGTGTCAAGATGGCCTATGGACGCAAAATCCATTTCGTGGTTATGAACAACCTCTTCCCGCCTCATCGTGATATTCATCAGACTTTCGACCTGAAGGGCTCGACGATCGGCCGTGACTTGCGCGAAGAAGACCTTGAGAAGAATCCACGGGCCACTCTGAAGGACCTGAACTGGGTCCGAAGAGAACGTCACCTCGAGTGCGGGCCATCGAAACGGGGATTTTTCCTGGCACAGCTTGAGCGGGATGTTGAGTTACTGAAGCGGCTCAAGATCATGGATTACTCTTTATTAGTGGGCATCCATGATTTAGAGAGAGGAAATGAGGAGAAGCTTCGTGACAAGACACTGCAAGTTTTCCAACCCGGCGGTGATCGAGAAGAAGAAGCGAATCCGAACATGCTCATGCGCACACCGTCGAAATTGGAAAATGAGCGCAAGGCCCGTGAGCTACGCTTGTCCCTCAAACGTGAACGCCCGGTGCCTCTGGACAAGGCAACTGCAAAAATGCCAGAAGAGATCCTCGACGAAAGAAAATTTCATGTCTTCTATTCCGACGATGGGGGATTTCGAGCCACTCATGAGAATGGTCAGCCTGGGGAGGAGATCTATTACCTTGGAATTATTGATTGTTTGACACACGTGAGTCAATGCTTGATGCAGACAGTATTATTCACGAATATAACGCTGACTTTTACATAAGTATGGCACGGTGAAACGACTAGAACACTTCTTTAAGGGTCTGTCCCATGACCGGAATCAAATTTCACCAGTACCCCCTGAGGGTTATGGTGATCGCTTTGTGAAGTTCATCAAGGGCATCACTATGTCTAAAGAGGAAGCGGTACGTTGCCGGGAGTCTCGGCAACTAGGCAGGGCATCTGCTGAGCGTACGCCTTCTGTTGAACGGACAATACAGGCGGCAGAGAAAGAAGCGGCCAAGGATGTATCTTTTACGCACCCTCGGACGTTATCCACTGTTCGGGACCCTACGGACACCAATTCAACGGGTCCAACTTCGACACTACCGATCGTAGACGAGGCCGGCGAGGCCAGTAGCGTTGGCGGACAGAGTCAGCATAGCCGACACGGCGCTCCGCCAGCGTCGGAGAAGAAACTGCCACCACTCCCTCACCAAGACCATCTTCGACCCGACGGGAAGAGAAAGGCGATCGCTTAAAACATGTATCCCTACTCCTTTTCAACGAACTATCTTCCCTAACCTCAAGGAAATGAATTCTGGTCGATTCTCATGATACCCTTTTTGCAGCTCAAAATTCCTTCTATATATCCTATTCTTGGCGCCGTGGGTTCACTCTTTTTTACCTGCGCAACGCATTCTCTCTTCCATCTGCCCCCATCCAATCTCTGGAACAAACCACTCTTGTGATACAGGCCATGTTACCACGATTGATGTGAGTTTCTTTCGCTCTCGGGCACCCTGTGCCTGTCTTCACAGGACACACCCTTTTGCCCACCTAATATCTTATCATCTTCTGTTTTGTTTTCGAATAACATACCGATATGGTCCCATTTTTGAGACCGTACTTTCTTTAACCACCAGCATGGCAAGCGGCATTTGATCATGTGTCCCATCATTTTTGAAACATCTACCTACCCACATCCCTCTCCTTATCTCTTCGAGAACCTTTCCTTTTTGTCCGTGCGTGCATGCGTATTTATTCTGTCTCCCTCTTTTTCTGGCGAGCGACTCAAGAAGTCACCTCTTTAAGCGTTGGAGTCTGATCCACGCTGACTGGTTCTGGCTTTGTCTCCAGTCTACTCTCGACTGCTTTTATATTCATTGTATCATTTTCTCCTTTGTTTGAAGTCAAAGGTCGGTCTTTCGACTCTGCTTTTTCTTTTGTTGATTTGTTTCTCCCCTTTTTCTCTGCTTTTCTACCTCGTATGTCGCTGGCTGAACGTTGTCCGCCATTGTTCTAACTTTCCTTTTTTTTTTTTTTTTTTTTTTTTTTTTTTTTTTTCTTTTTTTTTTTTTTTTTTTTTTTTTTTTTTTTTTTTTTTTTTTTTTTTTTTTTTTTTTTTGCTGCCTTTGTATACATGGATGGGAGAAGCGAATGCGTTTAATCTTTGCATGAGCAGGTCTGAGCGGTTTAATTATGTGTGTTTTCTGTGTTCTTTTTTTGTTGTTAGATTGATAGAAGACGCACAATAGGCGCTGTTCCTAGAGAATTGATACCAATCCGCTTTTGTTTCAAAACGAAGAGAGGGGGGGAAATGTTATAGACCACGATTCCGCTGTGTGTTGTTTTTGTAGAAAACTGTATTCAGGAATGAAAAGAGCTACATAAGGCGGTTTTCCCCAGCGATATTCTGATTAGAGCCCAGCCGCTGATTACTGAAAACGTACTAAATGAATTCGTGCTTCTGTTTTTATATTAAGCATTCTTTTCGAACCCACACCCCGATCCATCCAACTCTCCCAAAGTGGGTATAACATTCGTTACTTATAAAACTTCCATGAAACAAACGCCATTCTACATGCCAGTTCAGCGCAGCCAGAACCTAAAGGGACAAGTGCAAAACGACAGAAAATAAAGGCAAGAACAAGGAAATGATCAAAAAGCACCCAGTGACGCCAACTACCGAACAGCGAGTGAAAAAATTGGGGAATAAATGTTAGAACGGTGTTGTTAAGACAATCTTTTAGAAAGATAAATGAAGGAGGGCAGCCAAATTAAGGAGGCGTTTGACACCCGGGCTATCCACGTAGGCATATGATCCCCCTGGGGATGATAACTGCGAGGGTGAAGATAGGAGAAGTGCAGTAGATGCAGGAATTATTCAGCCTTGCCTTGTGTCACTTTGGCAGCTTGGATGGCGGACATTTTCTGAGTCCAGCCTTGCGTGGGCTGGGGCTTCTTGACGGTGCGAAGATCATCAGTTGAGAACCCAGAGATGCGCATGTTGTAGTTGCGTTCGAGAACAAGCTGAATATCTCGGATCTCGAGGGTAGATGACGGGCGTAGTTTGGCGAGACGGCAGGCGGCGGTGATCACATCGTCAACGAAGTCGTCGGCCATTTGGAGGATGAACTGATGCATGTTAGATGATTCTCATAGAAAAGACGGCTGGGATTTATTGAAAGGGTAATTGGAACAATATACCTCTTCAGCATCTGGCGTAAGTCCCTCGCCCTCTCCTCCTCCAGTCACCTGGCGAACCAAAATGTCAAGCATTTTCTTGCTTAGCACTCGCTGGCCTTCGCCTTCAAGGACGTACCCAGGGTGTTTTTGAATCGCAGGCTGACCCATCATACCCATAGCGCCGTGGCTGGGACCGCCTGACAGGGTTGGCCGCGCTGGTGCCATAGTGACAGGCTCCGAAGGAGGGACATTCAGGGTTTTTGGAATGGCCATATTGATATTTCGTGCCGTGTTATCAGTGGCTCTATTGGGGATGTAGCCCTGAGGATGCGCATGCGAGTTGGTCGCAGGCTGCGACATGTTCTGTTGCTGGTTCATATTATTGTTTGCATTGTTGTTGGTGTAGTTTTGAGCAGCCTGGGCCATAGCAGCTTGCTGGGACAAAGGACGTGGGGGCCCTTGTACATTAACTGGCTGAGCAGTAGTAGGCGTGGGCGTAGAGCCATCCAAGTTAGGTACTTGCGTGAATGTAACCTGTGAGCCAGGAGCTCCTGGCTGAGACTGGACTTGCTGTGGCGGTTGTGGATGTTGTTGTGGCTGCGGCTGCGGCTGCGACTGTGACTGCGCTTGGGGAGGAACGACTGGTGGTGCGGCAGGCGCGGCAGGCGTGGCAACCGAGGCCGCTTGTGCAACGGGTACTTGACCTTGTTGGGAGACTGACGGTGACATAGCTGTCTGGCCAGCTTGGCTTCGTGCGGCACTTACCGCAGAGGTGATAGTATGAGGGGCAGGCGTTGGGGCCTGTCCAGGATGCATTGACACGGGAGTGTTTGCGGGGCGACCGTCAGAACCAGCAGGGACAGTGGGAGCTGGTGTGACACTGGCACCTTGTGGTTGACCCGTAACGTTCTGTACGCCTGCTCTCTGTTGCTGCGCTTTGAAGTTTTCTTGTTGCTCTTTGAACTTGGTCAAGAAGTCACCCCCTTCTCGGTACAGCTTCTCCGCCGCAAGCTGTCGATTTTTGAACTCCTGTAACTCCTCCTGGGTCATGTTTCCGGCAGATTGGCGCTGGCTAAACTGCTGACGTAGCTCCGCTACACGCGCCCTACCGATCTCTTGCTTTTGCAGCGCAATGCCGTATCGTAACCTGGCCTCCGGAAGCCATGACTGTGCTTGTTCTTGGCTGATATTGGGAGGAAGAGAGAATTGCAGACTGTTGACTTTTTGTTGGATCTGAGGTAGGAGCTGATTGAAAGTCTGAGGGTTGACCGACTGCGGGCGCTGACCAGGCTGACCAGGCTGGCCCTGGAGCTGTTGTTGCTGGAGCTGGCGATTCTGTTGGAATGCCCGCATACCCTTCATCAGACTCTGAGATATCTGGGTAAGCCTCGAGTGCGCGTGCTGATATTCTGTGCTCTGAGGATCGCGATTGTTAAGGACCTCCCAAAAGTTGCGCACCAGCTGGGTGTGTTGACTCTTTTGCTGCTCGGTGAGATGAGGGAGCTTTTGAACCTGATCGGTCCGGATCAGATTTGAGTGCTGGGTAACCATGGGCTGAGCCGCAGGAACCTGTGAGCTGTCCATTCTCTCGATAATAAATTTGACACAGAGCGGCAGCGAACGTCTGGGTAACTATAGATATGAGTGGACCGAAAGTAGATGTAACCCCGAAAACAAGGGAATGATGGGTTGAATCCGTGCGACAGTTAAAACCGTCAAGCTACGTGTATGAGGCCACGAAGCGGCCGGACAAGGGTTGCCAAAGTTCAAGTCAATTAGCGCAAGGGCCGATAGCTGGCAATAAACACCGCAGTCCCCGTCAGGAGGAATAGATTGAACGAACGATTCGAGCTCAGAATAACTGAGGATGGGTGGAGAGTTTGGGAGCCTCAGGTCATCCACGGCTTGGCAATCAGTGTTGCTCCCAAAGCGGTAATCCTGGGTCCAGTGACTTTGTGTATCACTCTTTTGCATTAATTATCATATCCTCGTTGTCTTCTTCGCCTTCTTCTTTTTATGTCGAGCTTATAGTGGCTTTTGAAGAACCTTGCTTTCCTCTTTCGCCATAGCTTTCCTTGTTTCTTTTTTTCTACGACGTCGAACCCAAATTGTAAATCAACCAGAATTAATTATCAAGGACTATGTATGCTCATTTCCAACAAAAGTGAGTGCGATACCTTTGGATATTAATCTACATGATAAACATTGCCTTATACTACAGCTCTCAGGGGAATAGTTGCGCTGGTGAAACCATCAGAATGTCACAGATGTCAACACTATTTCGATAAGACGAACCACTCAAAACGGCTATTAGCCCGAGCTCTTGATGACTGGTACGTCGGAAACCATTCAGAGAGGACAATATATTACTGATCCAGCAAAGAATGCAGGGCTGGCAAATGATCGATTAGCCATCATCCTGCTATGGACCACATGTCAGGGTCAATAGGTAATGAGAAAGACCCGACAAGCGGGGAATCATAGTGTCTTGTTCGTCTCGCAAGCTCGACGCGAGGTGTACTAGACTGAGCATGCGACCGAGAATGATTTGGGAACCTCAGCAACGGAACAAGCCGACGACATGATTCCAGGCAGCTTAACATTGTAACCGGCGCAACAATCGCATGCCCATGGCGGCCGAAGCATGTAGATTTGGGCAAGACGTTCAAGGGTTTAGTCCGCGGCATGTTTGTCAGACCAAGTATGAGGTCACTAGATCAAAGTGCCGTACCTGGTTGATACCTCATGTGTACTCGAAGTGGCACGAGTCCCAGGGCGAGTTTTGGAGCGTCGGGGTCAGGCAATGTTCACCGCGGGGACTTGCAGCTCGTGGCAGAACTTTGACAGACATTAACGGTTGGACAAGACTTACGATCTGCACCCCTTGCGTGATATCTGAGCCACATAAACAGAGTGTCAAGGATTAATCATCCAATCAAGCCACCTAAGTCCCGTTCCATACCACTGACGCGGGCTTCTAAGGCTCTCTTCATTTTCTCTAGCTCTCGTATCTCGTCAATTTCCTGCTCAATATCGGCATCTGTCACATCAGCTACATCTGGTTGCAGTGTGCTTGAGGATTCATAATCGTCATAGTCGCCTCCGTATGAGCGACTCATCTTCTCCAATTCTGCGGTATTTCTTGCTACTCGATCCTCTAAGTCGACAATCGAGTCAGTAATCAGTTGATGGCGGTAACGGAGACTCGCGATCTTTTCTTGTGCCCCTGAGACCGGGCTTTGAGCAATGTCAGCAAAGATGCGCTACGAGCCAAAAGAGTGAAGCTATTGCCACTTACTAGACGTTACAGAGAATTTCTGCGCCTTGGAGAAGCACGTCGACGTTGACCTCGCCACGCCCTCTAGATGAAGTACCTGCTGACCGTTTGATTTCTTCCATCATATCTGACCCCAAGACTCTTGCAACAGCGGAGTGGTTTCTGTTATTCCTGGCTGCATATATCCGACTGGCCATTGACTCTCCCTCTGTCTCCGATGGAAATACTGTTCCTCGGCGGGTTGACCGACGCTGTGAAGCACTAATTGCCTTCACAGACGGGTCTGTTTGGAAAAGAGCCCGTTCATGGGTCTCGGTATCGCGAATAAGAG